CTTGAACCCCTGACCTCAGGTGATCTGCCCGTCTCAGCCTCCTAAAGTGTTAGGATTACAGGCATGAGCCACTGTGCCCGGCCTGTACTTTTCTTGATGAAAGTGTCAGTTCAGGGCAGGGGAGGCTACCCAGGGGGACTCTGAGCGGCCCCAGCCTGGGCCCCTTGGCCAGGCATCACTGGGTTTTCTCCCCGACAGGACTCTCCCAGCAACAAGCTGCTGTATGCCAAGGAGATCTCCACCTACAAGAAGATGGTGGAGGAGTAAGTGCTGCCCGCCCTCCAGGCCAGGCCCCCGTGCCCACCCTCGACCCCCTGCGGGGAGGTTCAGGCCTTGGTTTCTCCCACCACCCCCTTTTGTGTCCCCCGCTGCCCACACTGTGATGCTCCCACCCCTGCAGTTACTACAAGGGCATCCGGCAGATGGTGCAGGTCAGCGACCAGGACATGAACACACACCTGGCAGAGATTTCCCGGGTAAGGAGGCCACCAGGGACGCACCCACGGCCGTCCCCTGCTCCTGGCTCCTACTACCCTGTGCTGAGCCTGGCCCTGAGCTGCAGGGCAGGGGTTAAATGGTGTTGAGGGGGAGAGAGGGTGGGGTGGGACCTCGAGGTGGGCCCAGCCATGTGAATTGAGCGTGCTGTGTGTGGGGAGTGTGAGCTGTTTGAAGCCAGGCCATGCCCACAGCACCCCCTCCCTGTGGCTCAACCCACGGCCATGCCCACAGCACCCCCTCCCTGTGGCTCCACCCACAGCCATGCCCACAGCACCCCCTCCCTGTGGCTCCACCCACAGCCATGCCCACAGTGCCCCCTCCCTGTGACTCCACCCACAGCCATGCCCACAGCGCCCCCTCCCTGTGGGTCCACCCAGAGCCATGCCCACAGTGCCTCTCCCTGTGGGTCCACCCACAGCCCTGCCCACAGCGCCCCCTCCCTGTGGCTCAACCCACGGCCATGCCCACAGCGCCCCCTCCCTGTGGGTCCATCCACAGCTGTGCCCACAGCGCCCCCTCCCTGTGGCTCCACCACCCACAGCCGTGCCCACAGCGCCCCCTCCCTGTGGCTCCACCACCCACAGCCGTGCCCACAGCGCCCCCTCCCTGTGGGTCCATCCACAGCCATGCCCACAGCGCCCCCTCCCTGTGACTCCACCCACAGCCGTGCATCACACAAGAAGACACTGAGATGGTTGTGTGTGCAGGATTCTGTCTGTGTGGGTGTCTAAGGCCACGCCACATGGGGGGCCCTAAGTGCTGCCTGTGCCCAAGGCCCCAGCTGCTGCCCCGGGGAGGCCTCTTGTCCTGGGCGTCCTGCACTACCCCTGCCAGCCCTGGGGCTCCCACAGCCCCTTTTCTGCCCTGACCGTCCCGTCACCCCGCAGGCACACACGGACTCCCTAAACACCCTCGTGGCACTACACCAGCTCTACCAATACACACAGAAGTACTATGACGAGGTAGGGTCAGGCCCCTGGGGGCGGGGGGGGGCCGGGCGATCCCCCAATGTGCTCTGATGGGACTCTCCCTCAGATCATCAATGCCTTGGAGGAGGACCCCGCCGCCCAGAAGATGCAGCTGGCCTTCCGCCTGCAGCAGATTGCGGCTGCGCTGGAGAACAAGGTCACTGACCTCTGACCTCCAATCTCCAGTGCTGCCTTGGGGCATAGGTACCCAAGGTACCTGAGAGCCCCTCGGGGGAGGAGGCCAAGTGGCTGTGGCTGAGGCCCCCACCCTCCCCCGGAGAACGCGCCCCATGCGGGAGTGGGTGCAGCAGGAACCCACCCAACGTCTAGACTGTAGCATCTTCCTCTGAGCAATACCGCTTGGGCGCTGCACCAGCACCAGCACCAGCACCAGCCCCGGCCCCAGCCCCAGCTCCCTCCGGCGGCAGAACCAGCATCGGGTGTTCACTGTCGAGTCTCGAGTGATTTGAAAATGTGCCTTACGCTGCCACGCTGGGGGCAGCTGGCCTCCGCCTCCGCCCACGCACCAGCAGCCGCCTCCATGCCCCTGGGTTGGACCCCTGGGGATCTGAGGGCCTGTGGCCCCCAGGGCAAGCTCCCAGATCCTGCGTCCGTCTGTCCACCTCGGGATGGGAGGAGGAGAAAAAGCGGTACGATGCCTTGCTGACCTCACCGGCCTCCCAAGGGTGCCGGCACTCTGGGTGGACTCGGCTGCTGGGCCCCACGTCAAAGGTCGAGTCGTAGGTCAAGTCCAGCATCGGGGCCCAGACATCCTGGGGTCCTGGTCTGTCAGACAGGCTGCCCTAGAGCCCCACCCAGTCCAGTGGGACTGGGAGCAGTTCCACCAAGACCACCCTATCCCTTTTTGTAAATCTTGTTCATTGTAAATCAAATACAGTCGTCTTTTTCACTCTGTGGGTTGGCTGAGTTCCTACTGGGGCTGCGGTGCCCCTGTTCACCACCCCTTCCCTGGGCTCTGTGGGCCCTGCTGGGAGGGGAGCTGCGGTGAGGTGGAGGGGGCTGGAAGGGGTGCTCGTGTGAGGTGAAGGGGGCTGGGAGGGGTGCTAGGGGGAGGTGGAGGGGGCTAATAGGGGTGCTTGGGGGAGGTGGGGGGTGCTGGAAGGTAGGACTGCTTCTGGTGCCATCTGGTGGCTTCCATGGCCTCCTGCTTCTTTCATGCAACACATTCTTACCAAATGGCCACTGCACACCACGCATGCACTGTCTTGAGCGCTAGGAACAGCAACAACCACGACAGGCAGGGCTCGGAGCCTCCCCTGTGCACCAAGAATACAGACAGCCCAGGCAGAGGGGCATTCAGTGCTCCAGACACAAAGTGAAGGCCCAGCTTCAGATGTGGCTGGATCTAGGCACACATCCTGAGGTTCTGCTGGTCTGGACTGCTGACCCACTCACGAGGATCCGTTCTCAGGCAGCCCCAGCCTGTCTCCCCGACTGGGGCACATCAAGGCCAGGGTCTCTTGATGGGCAAGGCCTCCACTGCTCGAGTCCCCTTTGGACTGGGGCACCTCCATTCAAGCCACGATGAAAAACGGGTGGCCTTCTCTCCCCCACAGGAGAAAGGGGTACAAGGCAAACTGACATCCCCTGCTCTAGGGACCCCTGAAATGACATTGGGTTCCTCCCTTCCCAGAGACATGGCTGGTCAGAAGATCAGAGCAAGGGGGTGGACCGAAGTCTGAAGTGCTGAGTGGCAGGTCTCAGGTAGTGAGCTGGGAACCTGGAGGCCTGGCTTCCGTACTCGACCCCTGCAGACCATCGTGCAGGGGGCTGGGGACCTGGAGGCCTGGCTTCCGTACTCGACCCCTGCAGACCATCGTGCAGGGGGCTGGGGACCTGGAGGCCTGGCTTCCGTACTCGACCCCTGCAGACCATCGTGCAGGGGGCTGGGGACCTGGAGGCCTGGCTTCTGTACTAGACCCCTGCAGACCATCGTGCAGGGGGCTGGGGACCTGGAGGCCTGGCTTCTGTACTAGACCCCTGTCTCACTGGGCAGTCAGGAAAGAAGGGAAGGTTCAGTGAGACCCCACACACGTGAAACTTGGGGCTGGGGAGAGGCTGCAGGCCCAGCAGTCCAGCACCCAGGTGGGGGCCGGCATGGGTAAAACCCGGGCATAGCTGCTGGGGTGCACATGGGTGGGCCGGAGTGATCATCTGGGGACAGACGAGGGGTGGCCTGTCCTTCCTGGTGCTTTCCAAGTCCCATTTTCCTCCCAGAGTGGTGGGAGGAGAGGCAGTGGGTAGCTCACCAGCCCAGGGCTACATCCTGCTTGCTTCTTACCGGCAGGACAAGTCCTCTGCTAAATCAGCTCTGCACCCACCATCACCTGGTCCCCCAGTGAGCAAGGCCAGATTTGCCTTTTAGGACGTTCACTGACTGCAGGAAGAGGCCAGCTGGGAGGGACTGGGGGATCAGAGAGGGGCTGTCACACCCCTCCAGTGAGGAGGGGTAGCCAGGACCAGCAGGCAGTGGGATGGGGGGGATGAGCACGGAGGAGGGGTGGTCTGCTGTATTCAGGGACCACAGTGAATCAGCTGGGTAGGAGGTGCCTCTGGCCCAGGGCCTCTCACTCCTGCCCTGCCACCTGCCCTTCCCGGCTCCCCTGACCCAGGGCAGTCCTGTCACCACCAGCCTGCTTCCCCTCTGGGCCTGGGACTGTCCTCCACTGGCAGCTCCCTCCAGGGGGGCTTCCCTGGCCCCCACCGTGCTCTGACGGTGCCTCTACTGGAAGGCGGCCTCCGGGTCCTCGCACCACCCGAAACTCCTCAGTGGTCACTCCTCGGCAGTGCCACGACCCCACACTGTCCCCGGTAGGCGCATGGGTGGGACCTCTAATGCCCGGGGCAGGTCAGCTCAGTGGGGAGAGGGTCCTGTCCCCCGCCCCCCACACACACGCTCACCCGACCCGCTGAGCCCCCCCCCCCCCGCCCCGCCTCGCCTCCCTGGCCGGGAGGATTGCGGGCGGGCGGCGCCTGGGGGAAGCCTGACACCTCCCCACCTCCATGTCCCCTACCCTAGGGGCGAGAACCGAGCCGCCCAGTCCCCCGGGAGGCGCAGGGGCGGGGCCGGTCGCTATGGGAACTCGATTCCCGCCCCGCCCGGCCGCGGTACAGACAAAGGCCGCTCCCCTCCCCCGGCGGCCGCGGCCGCGGTTCCCACAGCCCCGGGGCTGCGCTCCCGCCTCCTACTCCTTTAGCTGAAGCTCCATTAATTCCGCACAAAACCCAGCCTGGCCCAGTGAAAGGCGACCCGGGGCGGGGGCCCTCCGGGAGGCCACCGGTGTCCTCGCCCCAATCCAGCCCCAGCGAGGACAGAGGCCATCCCCGGGCCCGCGCCAGGCCCCAAGTCGGATGCCGGCTTCCACTGGGGAAACTGAGGCACGGGGCTTGGTCATGCAAAAGAGGCCGGAGCGGCTGGGACTGAGACCCGTTCCTTCGCCGCGGTGTGCATGGGTCCGTTGGCCAGGACCGCGCTGGCTGTTTTAATTTGGTTGCCGATATATAAAAATCAGATTTGATATTAAAACTCGGATTTTAATGTTTTAAAAAAGGAGTTATTTGGGCCACTGGGATCCTGATTTCTCACTTCGCTGGAGGGGGCCGCCCAGCCACGAAACCTCCCACCCACTGCTCTACCAGGGCGGAGGTCGGTGACCGGTGCTCCAGGAGGCAATGCTCCTCCGAGCCCTGGTCACTTTCCAGTGGGAATAAAAGTAGCTGTGCGGCCCCGGGCGCGGCACAGACGCCGAGAAGGAGTGGAGCGCTGCCCCCTTCCCCGCCGAGGCAACCCCCCGCGCCTGGCCGCCCGCGGGGCTGACTTCAAGGACCCTGCACCCAAAGGCGGCTCCTCGGACCTGGGATAGTCAGGGTGGGCTTCCTAGAAGTGGCAGCTAAGGAGGAGGAAAGGTTCTGGGCAGCAAAAAGGATCCGTTTGGGGCCGCTGTTTGTGGGTAGGAAGGCCCCGCGGTGACGCCGCTGTCCCTGGTCCTGACAGTCCAGCGGTCGCACCTCTCCCAGAGGGGAGGTCAGGGCGAGCCGGGGCAGGAGGCCTGGAAGGTTCTCCGAGGCGCGCCGCAGACCAAGGCCTGCAGATCCTGCGTGAGAAAGCCAGGCCAGCCCTGTCCCAACGCCTTTCGGCTTATTTTCCTATCCAGTGCCGAGTCTTTGGGAGGTGCTATTCTTATTTCTGTCTTGATGAAAAATACTTCCCATGGTTCACCCAAGGCTTCTTCGGTTTTGACGGTTCTTCCTCGTTGGGGAGGGCGCCGCCGGGGTGGGGAAGCCCGGGTCGAGCCCAGACGCGGGCGCAAATCTGGAGAAGCGCGCGGCCCCCAGGAGGTGAGAGCTGGAGGGAGGTGTCCGCCCTTGGCGCCCCCCCGGGAAGGGGAGGGCTGGTTTCCGCTCCGCCGCCGCCTCCGAGGCGCAGGAAGCAGCGCATTTGTCTTCGGGAACCCCCCCACGCCCCAGCCACCCAGCCCGGGAAATCCGCCCGGGCCTCCCGGCCCCGCCCCGGAGCCCCGCCCCGCCCGCCGCCACCGCCTCCGCCGCCCTCCGCTCCGCTCCGCTCGGCTCGGGCTCGGCTCGGGCGCGGGCGCGGGGCGCGGGGCTGGCCCCGGGCGGAGCGGCGGCCGGTCCGGACATGTCGGGCCCTCGCGCCGGCTTCTACCGGCAGGAGCTGAACAAGACCGTGTGGGAGGTGCCGCAGCGGCTGCAGGGGCTGCGCCCGGTGGGCTCGGGCGCCTACGGCTCCGTCTGGTAGGGGCGGGGCACAGGGGGTGCTGGGTGGGGGCCGGGCCGGGCCGGAGAGCGCGTCCCCTCCTAGCCCGCGCGAGGTTCTCGGCGTGGGGAGGGGCCTCGCCCTGCCTCCGCCCCCGGGCGCCGCGCGGATCTGAGGAATGAATGGGGGGGCGGCGTAAAGAAACTTTCCAAGCAGACGCCGTTACCGGGAGGGAGGGGGTCCTCCAGCCTCGCCCGATTCGGACCGCCCCCCACCAGGCCTGAGGCCCGGGGGGTCACAGCCGACGTGAGGGTGGGTCTCACGCGACCGAGCCCCGAGCCACCCTGATGTCCGGGACCCTAAATGTCTGAGCACCCACTGAGTCGGGTCAGGCAGCCCCCTGGGTCTAGCGGATGCCCCTCCCCCGCCCGGGCTGGGGGCTATTGTCTGAAAAGGGAAGCCCCGCTCCCGGAAGCCAAGACCTCTCCCCCTGGGATGGCCTCAGGCTCCCCCTCAGACCACAAACCCCACTTAGGCCCTGGGGCCAGAGGACCTGGCCTGGGGCCCAGGAAGACGACAGAATCTGGGTGGGGGAGGGGGTCGAATGGGCCAAGGCCTCTGTTACCAGGGCAGCCAGGGTTGGAGGGGCTTAGGGTGAGGTGATTACCAAGAGTCCTAAGTTTCAGCTTCCATGTTGACTGGGAGGCCGATCATGGGTACAGGCTTTGAGAGGTGCAGCTGAGTCCTCACCACGGCCAATGCCCCTTAGCTGCTGCCCACTGGGGGGTCCTGGTGGGGCGTGAAGGCAGAGGCAGCCAGAGCAGGGCGTTGTCCCAGGCACTTGCAGGTTGGAAGTGGGATCTCTAGGCCCACCAGATTCAGAGCTCAGGAGCCAGCATCAGGGCTGGGGGGTCCCAGGGCAGGCTGTCTTCTGGCGTGGTCCCTAGCCATCCGTCAGAAGCTGCAGGTGGGTCATGCTAGCCATCATGCCAGCACAGATCTGTCTTCCTCTCTGAGACCTCAAGGGCAGGGAAACGGTCTGGGACAGTGTGGGAGTGGCCATAGGGAACTAGGGCGGGGCCTAGCTGGACTCTGGGAGTTGCTGAGGGGTGTCCGGTTCTCCGAGTGAGGCCTGGTCTCCCCCCCTTGCACCCCTGGCCCATTTTCTCAGTTCCACTGCCAAGGGTGCGGGCCGGGTGCCAATTTCCTGTCACCTGACCGCACAGATACAATTGGCCAAAAGAACCTGCTGCCCCATGTGCGGGGCCACTCGCCTCACCACCTCAGAAGCACCTTTCCCTGGTCGTAGGCTGGGAGCATGGCTGCCCCAGGCACCTCGACCTGGGCCCATGAGCATCCCAGACCCAGCGGGAACCGCCCCTGCTCCCCGTTGTGTGGGCATGGGGGGTGGCCACAGCCTCCACTTCCTCTGGGACAGGATCCCAAGAGACAGAAGTAGGAGGGAGAGAAGGGGCAAGAATCAGCGAGAGGGAACAGGCTGTGCAAAGGCCTTGCCTTTAGCAGGGCTGAGGGCAGTGGGACATGGGAGGGTGGGATGAGGGGTCACTGGCAAAGGGAGTGTGCGCTCAGGAAGCTGGTGCAGGGTAGAGGGTCTGGACCTCTGGGAAGTGGGGCTGGGCGAAGGGCTGTTCTGTGGGGCCAGCACACGCCCTCAGCTGTACATCACCTTCTGTCCAGGTTTTATTCCAAATAATGATGCAATAAACACTCTGACCAACTTTCCCTCCGCATTTTGAACATTCGGAGGCACTGGGGGTCCAGGGGCTTTGAGGTGGCTCTAGAATCCCCCTCCATGAGCCTCCTGGGACCATGGGGTCTATGGGGCAGAGGGAGGCCGGTCTGCTGCAGGTGAATGCCAGTGGCTGTTTTCCTGCTGTGTTTTTCCACGCTGGGTGGGGGGCCTCTCCCCCAGCCTCGCTTTGAATGGGGGCCCCTGGTTGGGAGTGGGAATCAGTGGGGTCAGGGGACAGAGAATGTCCGGGACCTTGAGGGGCGAACACACGCATGGCGGTCCAGCCCCAGGGGCTCCTTCCCAGCAAGCACGGAGAGGGTAGGCCCGAGGCGGGAGGCCGAGCTGGGGCGGCGGGGCTGGGGCCGGGGCCGGGGCGGAAAAGCTCCACTGCCCCATCCCCACAGAGAAGCGGCGAGAGCGGCGCCGCCCGGGTCCACGCGCGTGCGGACGGGAGCGCGTGTGCGCGCGGGCGGCCGCCCTCGGACCCCTCCCGGCGCCGCCTCACTCGCCCGCCTTCCAGTTCGGCCTACGACGCGCGGCTGCGCCAGAAGGTGGCGGTGAAGAAGCTGTCGCGCCCCTTCCAGTCGCTGATCCACGCGCGCAGGACGTACCGGGAGCTGCGGCTGCTCAAGCACCTGAAGCACGAGAACGTGAGCCGGGGGCGGGCCGTGGGGGGAGGGCGCGTCCAGGGGCGGGGCCGCGGGCGCAGCCAATGGGTGGGTGAGCTCTGGCGATGGGGGCGTGGCCATAGGGGGCACGGCCTGGCCCTGCGGGGCAGGGCCCGGGGGGGTTGAACCACAGCCGGGGGTTCGCCGCCCGGCCCTGACGCCCCCTGCCACCCAGGTCATCGGGCTTCTGGACGTCTTCACGCCGGCCACGTCCATCGAGGACTTCAGCGAAGTGTGAGCGGCGGGGCGGGCGAGGCAGCGGGGAGCGCGTTCGCGGAGCGGCGGTGGGGCCCTGTCCTGACCCCCTGACCCCGCCCCAGGTACTTGGTGACCACCCTCATGGGTGCCGACCTGAACAACATCGTCAAGTGCCAGGCGCTGAGCGACGAGCACGTTCAGTTCCTGGTTTACCAACTGCTGCGCGGGCTAAAGGTAGGGCGCCCTGGGTTTCGCGGGTCCCCTCGCGGGGGGCGGGCGGGCCGGGCCTGGCGCTCACCACGATCCCCCTCCCGCAGTACATCCACTCGGCCGGGATCATCCACCGGGTAGGTGCGACCGCAGGGTGAGGGTCGGGTCCAGCAGGGCTCCGTCCCGGCCTCCTGTGCTCACGCTCCGCGTGACCTGCAGGACCTGAAGCCCAGCAACGTGGCTGTGAACGAGGACTGTGAGCTCAGGGTGAGGCCCGCGGGCAGGGATGGGCGGGGCGGTGGCGAAGCCCGTGAGGAGCTTGAGAACACCTCGTGGTCGCCCCAGATCCTGGACTTCGGGCTGGCGCGCCAGGCAGATGAGGAGATGACCGGCTACGTGGCCACGCGCTGGTACCGGGCACCTGAGATAATGCTAAACTGGATGCATTACAACCAGACAGGTGCAGGGGGAAGGCCTGGGGGGACGAAGGCCGAGGGCCTCGTCTGGCCCTGGACTGGTTCTGCATGCCAGGTCTTGGGGGGCGGGCAAGGTCCCCAAGAATGTGGGACCCACATTCAAAGGCAGCCCTTCAGAGGCCGCTAGAGCATGACGGGTGCTGGCCTCCTCTGGCCCTGCAGCTACAGGCCTCCCCCTGCCCAGGGGGGTTGGGTATGGCGGAGGAGGGGGTCTGCCCATCTCAGGGCCTGGATGTGACTGTGGGTCTCCTGGAGGAGGGACTTGGGGTGAGCACACTGATGGAGGCCCCCTCGCCCTCAAACAGTGGACATCTGGTCCGTTGGCTGCATCATGGCTGAGCTGCTCCAGGGCAAGGCCCTCTTCCCGGGAAGCGACTGTATCCTTGGCTCAGGTTGGGGAGCAGGGTCAAACAGGGCCCCTCTTGTAGGGTAGGGACCAGTGCTGGCCCCTTCTGGCGGGTCTTGCCTCTTCTGCCCCCCATGCCATGCTACTTTGGGCTGGCCATCCTCAGCTCTAGGAGAGCGGGCTCTGGGCAGCGCCCCAAAGTTCTGGGTCTGGGGGCCCAAGAGAGGTCCTTGGCTGGCCCGTGGGTGTTTCCTGAGTGATACAGACATTGACCAGCTGAAGCGCATCATGGAAGTGGTGGGCACACCCAGCCCCGAGGTTCTGGCAAAGATCTCCTCGGAACACGTGAGTTGGTGCCTGCCTCTGCTGGTCGAGTCCCAGGCTCTCTGCCTCTGCTGGTCGAGTCTCCTCCCTCTGCTGGTCGAGTCCCAGGCTCTCTCGGGGAGAGGGTGGTGTGGAAATGTGGGGACAATATGGGGAACATGGGATGTGGTGGGATAGAGACTACGTCAGGTGCCAATCCCTGCAGGGGAAACAGGAGAAGGGGGAAGATGTTCCTGACACCAGGGACAGTGAGTGCAAAACCATGACCCCAGCAAGCAGTGCCTGGCCAGGGCAGTGGGGTTGGGCTGGGTGGAGGGAGTGTACTTGGACCCAGCTCCTGCAGGCGTTAGGGGCCAAGTGAGGAGCTAGTCACCGGACCCTATGTGGAGAGAGTCACTGGTCTGCCTGTGCCCTTGTCCTAGCCTGTTGGAGTGAATTGAGTCTGGGGGCTTGCCAAGAGAAGCCCCAGTTTGGGGCCAGGGAGGCAGAGAGTGAGCAGCCTCCCCAGGTGTTCTCGTGTGCCCTCCAGGCCCGGACATACATCCAGTCCCTGCCCCCCATGCCCCAGAAGGACCTGAGCAGCATCTTCCATGGAGCCAACCCCCTGGGTGAGGACTGCCCTGGGGCTAGACTGGGCTCCATATCTGGCCCTGGATACAGAGCTGACCCTCTCCTCCCTGCCACTGGCTCCCCTGCAGCCATAGACCTCCTTGGAAGGATGCTGGTGCTGGACAGTGACCAGAGGGTCAGTGCTGCCGAGGCATTGGCCCACGCCTACTTCAGCCAGTACCATGACCCTGAGGATGAGCCAGAGGCCGAGCCGTATGATGAGAGCGTTGAGGCTAAGGAGCGCACGCTGGAGGAGTGGAAGGGTGGGCATGGCAGTGGCTGTGGGTGGGTCCAGGGGCCTGCAGGCTCCATTTCCCCAGAGGCAGGAAATGCCCCGGTTCCTCTCCAGACTGGTCAGGTGTGGAAGGGCGTTCGGGTGTCCAGCACAGGCTGGGGGTGGGTGGGGTTGGGGAGTGGCACAGGGCAGGTTCTGGTTCCCAGACTCTGCTGAGGCTGCTGTCACAGGGTGGTGGGCCTGGGCTAGGTGGCAGGTGCCAGACAAGCAGGTGGGGGGCTGGACTGTGGGAGGCACAGGCTCACCCTTTCCCTTCACCTCCTAGAGCTCACCTACCAGGAAGTCCTCAGCTTCAAGCCCCCAGAGCCACCGAAGCCACCTGGCAGCCTGGAGATTGAGCAGTGAGGTGCCGCCCAGCAGCCCCTAAGAGCTCGTGGAGGGGCTTGGGCCTGCACCCTTCCACAGCTGGTCCGATTTCCTCAAGAGGCACCTCCCACATTCCTATGGTCACTGACTCCTGGCCTAGGACCCCTCGCCTTCAGGATAATCTACACACATGTATGCATGCACAAACATGTGTGTACATGTGCTTGCCATGTGTAGGAGTCTGGGCACAAGTGTCCCTGGGCCTACCTTGGTCCTCCTGCTCCCTTCTGGCTACTGCGCTCTCCATTGGGACCTGACTGTGGGGTCCTGGATGCCAAAAGGGCACCCCTGCGGAGTTCCCCTGTCTGTCCCAGGCTGACCCATTGGGGAGCATCAACCTTGGGGTCTCTTCTGTCCCAGGGCTCTCTGGAGGACACGCTGGGGCCGGGACCCTGGGAGACTCAAAGGGAGAGGTCTCAGTGGTTAGAGCTGCTCAGCCTGGAAGTAGGGGGCTGTCCTGGTCAGTGCTGAGACCCACAGGTCTAAGAGGAGTGGCAGAGCCAGTGTGCCACCAGGCTGGGCACGGACAACCACCAGGTGTCAAATGAGAAAAGCTGCCTGGAGCCTTGTGTTCACCCGTGGGTGTGTGTGGGCACATGTGGATGAGCGTGCACTCCTCGTGTTCATATGTCAGGGCACATGTGATATGGTGCATGTGAATCTGTGGGCGCCTAAGGGCCAGCAGCCATGCCTGGCAAGAAGCTGGCGCTGGGGCGGGCGTGCTGTTGCCTTCCCTCTCCTCAGTTCCTGATGCTGTGAGGGGTGTTTCAGACTGGGGGCTCCAGTGGGCGAAAGGGCAGCCACATGAGCGCCAGCACGGGCTTTCTCCTCGGATATGTGACCTGCAGCAGGCTCCTGAGGCTGGGGGTGACTGGGTGGTTTGGCCTTGAGGACGCTAAGGCAGGCAGCACACGCGGGTGTGGACTTGGACTCGAACACTTGTGCACCGCACCCTGGCCCGCTCTCTACCTCTGCCCACCGTTGTGGCCCTGCAGCCGGAGATCTGAGGTGCTCTGGTCTGCGGGTCAGTCCTCTTTCCTTGTCCCAGGATGGAGCTGATCCAGTAACCTCGGAGACGGGACCCTGCCCAGAGCTGAGTTGGGGGTATGGCTCTGCCCTGGAAAGGGGGTGACCTCTTGCCTCGAGGGGCCCAGGGAAGCCTGGGTGTCAAGTGCCTGCACCAGGGGTGCACAATAAAGGGGGTTCTCTCGCTCGGTTCATATCCAAAGGCCACTCCAGGCCCTGCTGCCCCCGCCATCCCCACTGCTGGGCATGGGGGGAGTGTCTGGGTCACTCTGCATCACTCAGCTCTAGCTGGCCAGATCCCTCAGGCCCCCAGTCAGACCAGTGGCCATCTTCTGGCACCCTCCCTGCTCCCTGGAGGGTCTGAGCCCAGGGGGACCAGGGGAGGACACGGCTGATGGGTGGGCTCTGAGGGCACAGGGTGGGACGGCCACCCAGATGGTGACCCCAGCTGCCCTGTGGGGATGTACTGGGCAGGCTTGGCTTTGGGCCAAGATCCAGACACCACCTCCCTACCCCTCAGTGGTCAGGGAAGCTGGCTGGGGGGGGAGTTGGGTGTCAAGGGAGCAAGGGTCTGCCCATCCCTGGGTGGGGGCTGGGTGGGCTAGGGAAAATAGCTTTCCTTTCCTTCCTGGTGAAGGAAAAAGAGGCCACTTTAACCCAGAGAATGTGTGTGCTGGTCCCGTTCCCACTATGCTCTGCAGCTTACGTGTGGGGGAGGGGCCAGACCATTTGGGGTCAGGCAGTGTCTCTAGGGGCCAGGGACAGTCTGTGCCCTTGCTTGGGTCTTGGGTAGGGGTGGAAACTGTCTGGGAGTTGGGGGCCCTCCTGGGGCCTCATCAGTGTAGTGGTCAGTCCTGGGGGAAGTCCAGTGTTGGCGGTTGGGGGTGGGAGCAGAATGGGGACACAGCCCCCCCTCAGAAGCCTGGTCTGTGCGGGGCCTTCTGGACCCCTGAGCTCCACCACGGGGAGTTAAGGGGGACAGCAGTGGCAGCTGGGCTTCCTGAAAGAGGTAGATGGAGTGCCACAGGCAGCCCAGGGCACAAAGGGTGCAGGCCACAGGCAGCTGTGGTTTGGGCAGCCCCGGGCTGCCCCTGCTCACTGGGCACGAGCTGATGAATGCCACGGAACACAGCCCAAAGCCCAGGTGTAAAGCTCCTCCCGCCCTTGAGCGGCTGAGCTGCTGATTCATGGCCGGAGGGCGGGGCAGAGGGCCCTAGCGATCCTGTTACCCACCAGCCCAGTGGGCTCCCGGGGTGCACCCACATCCCTCCTCAGACCCAGGTTTCTGGACTGCGGTGGGGGTGTCAGGGTGGGGCTTCGCCCACCAGAGCATCTGGTCTAGGATGGGGCCAGACATATGGGAGGATAATGCCCACACAGAGGGGTCAGGCTGAGGGCCCCAGCAGGTCCCCATCCCTGCTGGAGACAGTGCAGCCACCCTCAGCCTGGGTTTTGCAGGACAGGACAGGCAGGGATGGGACGGGCAGGGGCACCAGCACTTGCAACACTTGCAGCAGTCACCCCGCAGATGGGGGGAGCAGGGGGAGGAGTTGGGTGTCCAAAAGGGCCCTCGGGGACCTATGGGACTGAGAGGCCCGGGGTCAGTGGCCACAGGGGTGGGGTTGGGGATGCAGCCTGAGGATTTTGGGAGACAGACCCCTCCGTGTAGAAAGAGGGATACAGGCAAGACAGGTGCAGATGGACCCCCCATTCGGGGATGGATGGATCAGGCGCAGAGGTAGGGCATCCTTGGGGGTGGCGTGGGAAGTTGACTCTAGGTACACAGGGCTCAGCCCAACTTGGGACTGCCGATAGAAGTCAGCGCTCAGGCTGTCAAGGATGGGCCCTGCGCCCTGGAACCATGGGCAGTCAGGACTGGAGCCCAGGGTCTCAGCAGGAGCTCCCCACTCCCCCGGCTCCACCCCCAGAGCGGGGCAGTTCAGCCAAAGGGGAGAGGCTGACAGGGGTATCTCCGCGCCGCGTCCGGCCCTAGGTCGGAACAAAGCTGCGGGGCGGCGCTCCCCTCCCCCTGCGCTTCCCCCCAGGCTCCGGCCCTCCCCCGGCGGCGGCCGCCTCGGGTTTCCGGAGGGGCCGGAGGGCGGGCGAGGGCGTCACGTGCGCGCCGCCCGCGGGCCGGTTGGTCCCCGGGCGGGGGAGGGGCCGTGCGCTGCCTGGGTCGGGGTCGGGCCAGGGTCGGCACCTGGGACATCCCCGAGGGAAGGGCCGGGAACAGGAGCGTCCCAGCGGCGGGCGGGCGAGCAGCGCGGAGTCGGCCCGGGGCGCACGCCGAGGAAGCCCCGCCGATCCCAGGTCCCCGGTCCTGGGGCACCGCCCGCGGGCTCTGCGGGGTGGGCGGCTCCCGGGCCTGCCATGAGCTCTCCGCCGCCTGCCCGCAGTGGCTTTTACCGCCAGGAGGTGACTAAGACGGCCTGGGAGGTGCGCGCCGTGTACCGGGACCTGCAGCCCGTGGGCTCGGGCGCCTATGGCGCGGTGTGGTGAGCGCGGGGCGGCCGGCGGGGCGGGCGGGGCCTGCGCGGGGTGCCCGGCCTTCCCGCTAAGCGGTCCGCCCCGCAGCTCGGCCGTGGACAGCCACACCGGCGCTAAGGTGGCCATCAAGAAGCTGTACCGGCCCTTCCAGTCGGAGCTGTTCGCCAAGCGCGCCTACCGCGAGCTGCGCCTGCTCAAGCACATGCGCCACGAGAACGTGAGTCGCGCGACCCCGCTCCGGGAAGGCGCCCCGGCCTCGGCTGGGTTCGGCTGGGCTGGGTCCCTCCACCCGGCAACCCCTTCCCCAGGCAACCTGCTGTGGGGCGGGGCGGGGGTCGGGCCGTGGGCCCCCAGGGGAGAAGGAGAGCAAGGAGACGACTCCCCCAAGGGCCATTCCCCCTCCTCTGCCAGGCCCGGGAAAGAGCCCCTTGACTTGGCGTCTCAGCCAGGCCCTGGTCAGGGGACACGACTTGGCCAGGCCCAGGGGATCCTCCAGGTCTCACGCCAAACCCTGCCCCCAGCCAGGAAGCCCGCGGTGAGAGGATGCTCCCGGCAGGAGGATTTTCCTGGAAGGGGCACCTTCTCTTTCCCATCCGGGCCCCTCTCCAGCCCCTCTGTGGAGCCCACTTTGTTGCTGTCCATCTCCCGAGTCTTCCGACCCGGTGGAGGGGGAGGAGGGGGGCGCCAGAACGTAGGGAGTATGGTGAACCCTGGGGGTGAGTGAAGGGTTCAGGGAGCTGCTGTTTGGGGGGCACTGGGCGTGGTGGTCATCTCACAGACACCCTCCCTTTCGTTGTGGGGGCCCATCCTTCCCAGTCCTGCCTGTGAGATGCCATGCACAGCTGCCCTGGGCCTCTCCCACGGAGTGGCTGGCTGCGAAGAGCCGGACTTCTCTGCCAGGGGCCCTCTGGTTTCTGGACACAGTCCCACTTGTCCACTGCCCCCCATGTCGCTCCTGCCCTGCCCCTGGTCTGGGCCCAGCCTGAAGGCAGGTGGTCTGGGCACCCGGACCCTAGCTCCAGTGTGAGATGCTCTGGACCCTCCTGGGTCATCCGAGCCACCGGTGCCCTGGGAGAATGAGTCCCTGCGTCCACCAGCAAACCACCCGCCCCCTGGTTCCTGGCCACCGCCACTCTCTCAGCCCCTTGGGTGGGTCCTTTTCTCTGAGGCTTCCCATAGCCCACCCTGACCCCAGCTCACCACCCCGGGCCCTGTGAAATCTGTTTGCGGTGGACACCAACCTTGCCCCCACCTCGACACCCCCGTCACACCCGGCCCTGCCCCCACCTTGCCACCACTGCACTCCCCCATCCCGCCCGTCACACCAAGACCTTGCCCCAGGACTGTAGCCTTCCCCTCGGCCCCCTGCCCCCACCCACCCACTCACTCACCTGCTTGGGCCTTGCCCCATCCAGCCAAGCGCTCTGGGGCTTTTCTTTCTTCTTTTTTTTTTTCTTTTGAGATGGAGTTTCGCTCTTGTTGCCCAGGCTGGAGTGCAATGGCATGATCTCGGCTCACCACAACCTTTGCCTCCTGGGTTCAAGTGATTCTCCTGCCTCAGCCTCCTGAGTAGCTGGGATTACAGGTCCATGCCACCATGCCTGGCTAATGCTTTGTATTTTTAGTAGAGACGGCGTTTCATTATTTTGGGCAGACTGGTCTCAAACCCCTGACCTCGAGTGATCCGCCTGCCTCGGCCTCCCAAAGTGCTGAGATTACAGGCCTGAACCACCGCGCCCGTCCACTGGGGCTTCTCTTTTTTGAGATGGGGTCTCCCTCTGTCGCCCAGGCTGGAGTGCAATGGCGCGATCTGCGACCTCCACCTCCTGGGTTCACACAATTCTCCTGCCTCAGCCTCTCTAGTAGCTGTGACTCTAGGCACCCCCCACCACACCCGGCTAACTTTTTGTATTTTTAGTAGAGACAGAGTTTCACTATGTTGGCCAGGCTGGTCTTGAACTCCTGACCTCGTGATCCGCCTGCCTTCGCCTCCCAAATTGCTGGGAGTGCAACCGTGACCCACCGCGCTGGGCTTTTCTTTAGCCACCGCCCTGCTGTCCTGGGGTCCCCGCTGTGCCTGGGGGTCCACCCCCTGGGCTCCCGGCCTGCAGCTGAGGCTCCTTCCCTGGAACCCCATCTTCCTGGAAGACTGAAGCTCTGTGAGGCCACATGCCTTGCTCAGCGGGGGAGGAGGCTCTGCCACAGGCCCCAGTCCTGCCATCCCCATGCCACCTCCCTCTCCAGGCCAGCCCCCACACCACAGAGGCCAAGCCAAGTCCTATGGCCCCTAGCCCACAGGACCCTGCTTTCCATCTTCTGCCAAAGCGCTCTCCTGGGCACCCTCCAGCTGTCGTGTCCACAGACCCCACTGCTCCCAGGCCTCCCTGGACGGGCCTCTGTTCCTTCTCCTTCTCCCTCCACATTCTTGCCCACGGCTCTGGCAGAGCTGTCCTTCCAGTTTAGGTCCATTCTTGCTTCACTCTGGCCAGTCCCTACACCACGGCCAGCAGGACGCGTTTAGCATCACACCCGTTTAAATCCTTCCCTGTCTCTTGGGATCAAAGCCAAACTTTCACCTGGTGTGTGCTGCCCTGCCGGCTCCTTCTGGCCTCTCCTCAGCCCCTCCCTGGCCTGGGCCTTGGCCACCTGGCCTCCCTCCCTGTGTTCCTCAAACTCTCCCAAGTGTTCTCCCTCTTGCCTTGGCCACTCTGCATGTGCCCTCTGCCGGGTGTCCCGCAGCCCACATGTCTACCTGTCCCTCCATCCTTGGCTGTGCAGAACTTCTCCGGGCCTCCCTGGGACCCTGTCACCCCAAAATGCTGAGGCAGCAGTTATCACATGACCTGTCCACTGTCCATCTCCCCAACCAGGGGTGCTGTGGGGACCAGGTCTGGCGGGTCATGGTGCTGTCCACCTGGGCCTCACCAGCAGAGGCCTGGCCTCTCCTCATAGCGCTATCCCTTCCCTGGGTGTCAGTCTGCTTGGTTGGGGAGAAGAGGGGAGAAAGGGGCAAGTGGTAGGAGCCCTTTGGATGGTTCAGAGCCAGCCCAGACTCCGGGTTGCCCTTCCCCCAGAAGATCCCGGCTGTCACCATCCAAAAATAACCTGTCTGTGGGTATGTGTGCCAGGGCTGGGCCACGCTGCCAGTGGGCAGAGCCAGGCCCTTTGGACAGTGGGGCATGACGACAGCTGCAGAGGGGGTTTCCTGCCCAGAGGGCTGTGCCACTCTTGGGGGGTGTCCCAGCCCGTGTCCTCCGCTGCACTCTCAACCCTACCTGGCCCCCCAGGTGATTGGGCTGCTGGATGTGTTCACTCCTGATGAGACCCTGGATGACTTCACAGACTTGTGAGTGCCGACCTGGGCTGGCTGCTGGGCACAAGGGGTGGTGGGCAGCTCTGGGCACTGGCTTCAGGTTCCAGGTTGGCATGGGGTTCTCTTCCTGTAGCCTGAGTGGGGGATGCACACTGCCAACCCCCCCCATACTACTCTGCCCCACACCCTCCCCCACATGGTCCTGGGACCCACAGCTGGGCAGAGCTGGGGCTGCTGCCTCCCTTCACGCCTGGCACCTGGGCTCTCCGGCACCGGAGGTGTGAACCTTGGACCTGACCATTTGTTAACAGGAAGGTCCCGTGCTCGGGACCCTGGCACCAAGTGTGTGGCCGGTAACTGGAGCTGCTGACCTTTCCCAGCAGGTGGGGGAGAAGCGGTAGGGAGGACCCACCCTGCCCTTGCCCTGCAGCCGACCACCCCGGGACTCACACCTTGTCGGCCAAGAGTGAAGGGCCAGGCTGAGGAAGGCCTGGAGAGGGTAGCAGATGCCTCCCGCCTGACTTGCAGAGGTCAAGGACCCACGCTGGCCTCAGTGGCCTCTGGGGAGGTGCTAAATACCATTCTCCCGTGTCCGTCTCCACCGGCTCAGCCAGCCCCTCTGACCCAGATGCCTTGCCTTGCCCCCATCGCCCCCAGGCACCTCCCTCATCTCTGGCACAAAGTTCCGAGGTTGAATCATGACTGCCTCCCTCCCCTGCCTGTGAAGACTCGAGCCCTGCAGCCTCAGCCCCAGCCTGGCACGCAGGGCGCTTTAGCAGAGGGTTCAAAAACCCCAAAGGGAGGCCGGGGCGGTGGCTCAAGCCTGTAATCCCAGCACTTTGGGAGGCCGAGATGGGCGGATCACGAGGTCAGGAGATCGAGACCATCCTGGCTAACACGGTGAAACCCCGTCTCTACTAAAAAATACAAAAAACTAGCCAGGCGAGGTGGTGGGCGCCTGTAGTCCCAGGCTGAGGCTGAGGCAGGAGAATGGCATGAACTCGGGAGGCGGAGCTTGCAGTGAGCTGAGATCCAGCCACTGCACTCCAGCCTGGGGGACAGAGCTAGACTCCATCTCAAAAAAAGCAAAAACAAAAACCCCAAAGGGCAGCCTCCTGCCTGTCTGACAGTCCTCAGAGTGGGAGGGAGGTGTGAGCGTTGCTGGCAGTGACAGTTGGGGCAGGATGGAGCCTGGCACTGCAAGGTGGGGTTGTGAGGATGCCGAGGCTAGTGGAGACGGGTGCTGCAGGGTAACCTTCCCGGGGGCACCTGCTGGATCCCGGATGGGTCTGAGCCTGGGCCTGCTGGGTAGGCCTCTGGGATGCAGAGGCTGGCTCTGCCCACTGATGGTGCTCCGGCCCCTCCCACAGTTACCTGGTGATGCCATTCATGGGCACCGACCTGGGCAAGCTCATGAAACATGAGAAGCTGGGCGAGGACCGGATCCAGTTCCTCGTGTACCAGATGCTGAAGGGGCTGAGGGTATGGCCCCAGGGGAGGCTGCAGGGAGGCAGGCAGGGCCTCGGGGCTGGGCAGAGGAGGGCCCTGTGGCTCTGAGGCCCTGGTACGCTGAAACCTGCCGAATCTTCTGTCCCCGCAGTATATCCATGCTGCCGGCATCATCCACAGAGTGAGTCCTGGTGGAGGAGCCACCCATCAGCCCTCCCCCAGCGCAATCCCCCGCCTCCACGTCCTACCTGTGAGGGTCTGACAGGGTCTGGGGGGGCTGACGGGGTCTGGGGGTGCTGAGCCACGCCTCAGGCACAGCCCCTGGTGGGAGCCTGCCTGGATGCCCAGGTACCTGGGTCTGTCCTTGAAGGGCTGCAGGGAGCAAGGGGGCCAGGTCTGGTGGCCCCATTTTTAGGTGCCACCCAGGCTCTTGGCTGTGTCCATGCTCGGGAGGGTGGGGCACAGTGGCCACCTTTCCTCTGTCCCCAGGACCTGAAGCCTGGCAACCTGGCTGTGAACGAAGACTGTGAGCTGAAGGTGTGTGCCGCCTGGCAGGGGCCCCTCCGGATCTGCCCACCAATCCACCTGTCAGGCCTGGGCAGGGGGCCAAGGCCCCAGGCTCTGGGCAGTGGCTGAGGAGCTGGTGGGTGGGTGAGCCCCAGGAGGCAGTGGTATGCCACATGCCATACCTGCAGCGGGTGAGGGTGGGAGGCGCCCCCAGGCCCCTGCCTGGTCCAGGACAGGGCTGAGGCCTTGGTGGGCAGCAGGTGACAGCAGGGAGAGGGGAGCCCCAGGGCCCCTGCTCCATCCCAAGGGCAGCTGGGCTCGGTGCACTGGCCAAAGGGAGGAGCTTGCACAGTTTGGGGTCCGAGGGCTTGGCCTCAAGTCCTCAAAGGTTGTCAGGAGGCCCCAGCTTGGGGCTTCGAGTCCAACCCCGCTGGGGTCTCCTGGACCATGGGTGGCCTGTCCGCTCCTTGGGAGTCCCCTAGAACCCACCTCCCCGATTCTTCCCGCAGATCCTGGACTTTGGCCTGGCCAGGCAGGCAGACAGCGAGATGACTGGCTATGTGGTGACCCGGTGGTACCGGGCACCCGAGGTCATCTTGAATTGGATGCGCTACACGCAGACGGGTGAGAAGCTGCCTAGAGATTTGGGCCTCTCGGGCTGCTCCATCTGCTTCTCTACTTCTTCACTGAGAGCCCTGTGGTGGCTGCTCCCCAGGGAGGCTGTTGAGCTGGGGTGGGAGCCGGGTGGGTGGGCTGTGTCTGTGTTTCCTCCCTCCCCATCTCATCCCGTCCCCCTGCCCACGGGGCTGACCATGGCTTTTATCTCAGTGGACATCTGGTCTGTGGGGTGCATCATGGCGGAGATGATCACAGGCAAGACGCTGTTCAAAGGCAGCGACCGTATCCTCCAGCAGCACCAGGGGCGGGTGGGGATGGCTCCTGCCCAGGTGGGGGGTTCTGGGGGGGTGGGGATGGCTCCTGCCCAGGTGGGGGGTTCTGGGGTTGGGGATGGCTCCTGCCCAGGTGGGGGGTTCTGGGGTTGGGGATGGCTCCTGCCCAGGTGGGGGTTCTGGGGGTGGGATGGCTCCTGCCCAGGTGGGGGGTTCTGGGGGTTGGGGATGGCTCCTGCCCAGGTGGGGGGTTCTGGGGTTGGGGATGGCTCCTGCCCAGATGGGGGGTTCCGAGGGGGTGGGGATGGCTCCTGCGCAGGTGGGGGGTTCTGGGGGTTGGGGATGGCTCCTGCCCAGGTGGGGGCAGTGAGGGCCCTGATCTCTGGCCCCCCGAGCTGTGCTCCTGACCTCAGTGCAGACCTGGACCAGCTGAAGGAGATCATGAAAGTGACAGGGACGCCTCCAGCTGAGTTTGTGCAGCGGCTGCAGAGTGATGAGGTCAGTGGTGAGTGGGGAGCTGGGTGGGGGTGGGGGCGGACCCGGGCCTCGGTGTTGGCCCCTCACCCTTTCTTTCCACATAGGCCAAGAACTACATGAAGGGCCTCCCTGAGTTGGAGAAGAAGGATTTTGCCTCCATCCTGACCAATGCAAGCCCTCTAGGTAGGGCTGGCTAGTGTGGGGGCCACCAGGTGCTGGAGTGTGGGGCTTCCCGCAGTCTGGCCTGACGCACCTTCCCCCGCAGCTGTGAACCTCCTGGAGAAGATGCTGGTGCTGGATGCGGAGCAGCGGGTGACGGCAGCCGAGGCACTGGCCCATCCCTACTTCGAGTCCCTGCACGACACGGAAGATGAGCCCCAGGTCCAGAAGTATGACGACTCCTTTGATGACGTGGACCGCACGCTGGATGAATGGAAGCGTGAGCTGGGGGCTCCGGGCAGGGCCTGTGTGGACCCGAGTTGGGGGCTCTGGGCAGGGCCTGTGTGGACCTGTGAGTGGGGGGGCTCTGGGCAGGGCCTGTGTGGACCCGTGGGTGGCGGGCTTCGGGCAGGGCCTGTGTGGACCCTGTGGGCCCTGTGCAGGTAGCCAGGCTCCGAGTCCTAAATCCCCGTCCCTGGGATGCAGGTCAGGTGAGAAGAATGGGAGGTCAGAGGGCAGCATGGGGCCGCGTGGCCTGGTGGAAATGACCTCTGGCTGGAGCTGAAAGATGAAAGGAGGGTGTTCCTGGCAGGCTCAGCACAGAGGCTGGCACAGGAGGAGCCGGGAACGGTGAAGGGCAGCTGTGAGTCAGGGCAGCAGGGCCCACTGAGCCCCTCCTGGCCCCAGACCTGCTGCCCTTCCGCCATGTCCAGGCCAGAGACCCGGGCCACCGTGCCACCCTCACCATGTCCATTTGTCCCTAAGGCCTCTCTCCTCACATCTCGTGAATCTGTCCTTGCCTCTCCTTGCCCCAGGTGTTTTTTTTGTTTGTTTGTTTTTTGTTTTTTTTTTTTTTTTTTTTTTTTGAGACAGTCTCGCTCTGTTGCTCAGGCTGGAGTGTGGTGGCGTGATCTTGGCTCATTGCAAGCTCCGCCTCCCGGGTTCACGCCATTCTCCTGCCTTAGCCTCCCGAGTAGCTGGGACTACAGGTGCCCGCCACCACGCTCGGCTAACTTTTTGTAATTTTAGTAGAAATAGGGTTTCACCGTGTTAGCCAGGATGGTCTTGATCTCCTGACCCCATGATCCGCCCACCTCGGCCTCTCAAAGTGCTGGGATTATAGGCGTGAGCCACCGCGCCCGGCCCTCTCTTTGGTCCATTTTAGGATCCTTCCCATCTGGACAAGACATGTATGTCTTATATACCCAAGATAGTCCCCAGGGCCTCACCTGTCTCCCCCAGCCCCCCTGAGCAGTCCAGACCCCAACCCTAACTACTAGGGTCCATCATCCCCTATACCAGGGGCTATCCCCTCATCTTGGAGGGCTGGCCAAGGCCTGTGCAGCCTCAGGCTGAACTCAGGGAAGCCTCCCCAGCTCCCACAGCTATGCTGTGGCCTGAGGCTATGCTGGACCTGGCTTCATTTTTGCTCCAGAATGGCAGGCTGTGTCTTCTTCATGGCTGCATGACCAACCTGTGCCAACCTGTGGTGGGGGTGCCCGGGGACAGCAGGTGGACACTGGGAGCAGTGCCGTGTTTCAGGCCCTGTCCTGGCTCTGCCTTGGGCGCAGGGCCTTGGTCCTCCACACTGGCTGGGTGGGGCTGGATGGACTGAGATTCTTCACCTGTGCTCCTTAGGGCCACGGGTCCCTGGGTGCCTGCAGCAGGGCCTCCACCCTTTGCTGTGTGTGCTTAGTTGTGTGCTTATGAGTTTGGCTTTGATTAAAGGTTTCTCCTGCTAAAAAGATAACTTGAAAACCATGGGCCATAGGATTCTCTCTGTAGTCCCCACCCACACAACTGTAGCTGGGGCCTCAGCTCTTAGGACAGACCGTGGTGGACACGTGGCCAAGCCCTGGCCACCTCCCCTTTCCCTGGAAAATCCGGATCTAGAGCAATGGCCTCTTCACACAAACCTTCTCTCAGTAGTTTGGACCACATTAGGATTAGAGAAGGGCCCCACGAGGCACCGCCAGGCGTGTCTGTGAGTGACACCCCAGGATGGAAGGCAAAGGCTGACCCTGGTTTCTGTTGTGCCCCCCGCCCCCGCCAGGTGTTACTTACAAAGAGGTGCTCAGCTTCAAGCCTCCCCGGCAGCTGGGAGCCAGGGTCTCCAAGGAGACGGCTCTGTGAAGATCTCTGAGCTCCAGGGTGGTAGTGAGGACCACCTTCACCTTCCACCTGAGAGGGGACCCTCGTTGCCACCTTGACCTTGGCTGGGGCTTGCATCCCAAGGCATCCGTCGGAGCAGACCCCTGGGTTCCATGGACCCCCCTCCCCATGCCCCTGCCTCTGCTCTCGGGTGCCCATCCTGGAGGAGCACCTGAACTTTCTGGACAGGACCTCTGGCCGACCTGGGGATGGCCTCTGATGCCTGGAGCCGGGGCCCCCTTGCCCGGTGCCCTCAGAAACCTCGGAGCTGGTGGGGCTCCAGGTCAGGCCCTGGCCTCTGAGCCCTGCCTGCTCTGGGCCATGCGGAGGAAGAACAGAGGGTGGGCGCAGGGCACCAACTCAGGGACATCCCTTCTCCTGGGCGACGTCACTGGACCTTCCTGCACCCCTGCCTGGAATGTAAATCAGCTGTGTGGCGCCCACGTGGCTGGAATGAAATAGACCCTTTTGTAGCTCCCTGCTCTGGCTGTGCGTCCTCATGCTGCGACCTGTCTTAAGGCCTCCAAGCCCTTGGCCTGCATGTAGAGGAGGCTGGCCTGATAGCTCAGACCCTCAGAGCCAGCTGGGGGGCCTGAGCATCCCATCTCTCCCAGGCCACAAAGCTGTTGCCCACTTCCCCAGACCTGTGCCAGTGAGCTTCGAACCCCCACATTAGGGCTTGGCCCCCTCCCCTTTTACAGGGTGACCTTCTGCTAATGGCTTAGAGTCTAAGCCACTGTGTGTGGATCCTGAAGCCAGACCCAGGGGCAGGGCCTGATGGGGAGAAATGTTAGGATCTACCCTAGCTCTCTGCACCCTCCAAGGCCAGCAGGTCCCTGGGGGGAGGGGGCACACTGAACACCTTGAGACCCCTCTGGCCCCTGTGGTGGAATGGTGAGCACAGAGGGCTGGGTTTTGTTTTTGATCAAACCTCTAGTCCCTACCTACTACCGTGCTCCAGTGGTATCTTCATGCCCAGGCCGCCCTCTGCAGGCCACTCGGTGTTGCCAAGGGTGGCGGCTGGACCACAGGCCACAGGCACCTCCAAACCTGTCCCACGGCAGGGGGTTACAATAGAGAGACCAGTGAGGGCAGGGCAGGCCAGGCGTCCTCCTCGGTGGACACTTCCACAGCTGGCCCAGCCAAATTGGACTTGATGAGCTGCCACGACAGATGTCTTCTCTGCCAGCGACCCTCATGCCTCTCCAGGGCATCCGGGCATGGGGGACGTGATCCCCATCGGCTCGGGAGCCGCGCTGACTTGTGTCATGGCTGCTGTCCACACGGGGCCCAGCTTCCTGCCATAGGTGGCCTGAGGACTGGGGGCCCCAAAACTGACCCAACTAAACGTGAGCTCCGGCGGGGACAGGGTGGCCCCTGGGCTCCAGGGGGGCTCCGGTCTCCTCTTGGGGCACCTTGCTCCGTGGCTGTGCCCGCGCCTCCTGCCTTCCTCACTTCCTCTGTTCCCCGCCACGCTACCGCAACTCCGGTCCAGTGTCCCCGCCTCCACCGACCTTGACTCTGCTCTTAGGCCAGGGATGTTCTCGGAGCCAGAACCGGACTCACCCTCCTTAAACCTCCAGGGCGGTGCTGCGCCTGGATGCAACCACGACTACCGCCCTGAGCCGGCCGCAGCGCCACCCGCCTCCCCGCGGGGTTCTCCCGCCTCGTGGCCTTTGCCTGCGGACCCCTCGCCCCGCTCGCCCTTCACCCCGGCTCTTCCTGCGCTCGGGCCGGGTGGCCTTGGGGCTGCGCTGGACCCTGACCCGGGAGCTGGAGCAGAACGGGGCTCGCCTGGGCAGGCTCAGCCACAGGCGTTCGGGTGGGGCTGCGGCGACCGCCAGCGCAGGGCCTGGGGACCCCGCCCCTCTAGGAGGGGATCGGGGCGGGGCCGAGGGGGAGGCGGAGCAGCAGCGCAGCTCGGAGGGCTGGCGGCTCCGGGCGCTGAGGCTTCCGCGCCTGCTGGTTCCTCGCTCCGGGGCGGGGCTCGCGATAGCAAGCGGGAGCAGGGCGCGGGGCGGGACCCGGGTCCGAGGCGAGGAAGCCGGAAGCCGTGCGCGGGGAGCCTCCCCCTTCGACTGCAGCCTCGCTCGGCGCCTTCTGCACTCCTGGGATCCCGGAGCCTGTCTAGTTCTGTGCGCTCCCGCCCAGGCCGGTGCCCGCCGCCCGCCTGCGCCCCAGGCAGGTCCCAGGCCTCCGGCTGCTCCCGGCCGAAGGTGGGGACTGGCAGTGGCAGGCACCGCTGGCGAGGGCGTTTGGGGACCCAGGGTGACCACGGCGCAGCCATGGGGACCGCGCTTGTGTACCATGAGGACATGACGGCCACCCGGCTGCTCTGGGACGAGTAAGTGGGACCTGGCCGAGGTGGGGTGCGGGGAGGGACCTCTGGACTGAGCTCTTCGTCTGCCCCAGCCCCGAGTGCGAGATTGAGCGCCCTGAGCGCCTGACCGCAGCCCTGGACCGCCTGCGGCAGCGCGGCCTGGAACAGAGGTGTCTGCGGTTGTCAGCCCGCGAGGCCTCGAAAGAGGAGCTGGGCCTGGTGCACAGGTCAGGACGGGGGAAGCCCCCCCATGATATGGGGGCAGGCAACCCATCTAGAAATCTGGGAACCTGGGCCTGCCAGCCTTGAAGACAGATCCTCTCCCTATGCACCTTGGGTGGGCTCACAGGCTTGAGGAAGTGACAGGGTGGCCACTCCCACCACAAATCCCAGCTCCCCCCTCCCGGCCCCCTGCTCCTGCTGGTGACCGTGCCTCTCCTGCCTGCCCATCTGCATGCAGCCCAGAGTATGTGTCCCTGGTCAGGAAGACCCAGGTCCTAGGCGAGGAGGAGCTGCAAGCGCTGTCCGGACAGTTCGACGCCATCTACTTCCACCCGGTGCGTGTCCCCGGACACACTCACCTGTGCAGACACATGCACGCGCCTCTGCACGTTCACAGTCATGGCTGCCGATCCCAGCCAGCGTCCCCTGGTCCGTGCACGTGACATTGTCCAGCACACCTGCCTGCTGGCACTGCCAGAGCCTGGGACTGGCCTGTTGTGCCCAGCAGCTGGTGCCTTGCAGCCTGACACAAGTGTGGGCATGGCCTGCAAAGGGCAGCAGGGAAGGCGGGGGGGCTCATCTGTGCCCCTGCGCCCACAGAGTACCTTTCACTGTGCACGCCTGGCCGCAGGGGCTGGACTGCAGCTGGTGGATGCTGTGCTCACGGGAGCTGTGCAAAACGGGCTTGCTCTGGTGAGGTGAGAGCTGCTGCTTCCCCTGGCTGCTCCTCTGTGGGTGGCCCTGTGAGGGGCCAGGGCAACCCTGACACAACCCAAATCCTCCTCTCACGCCATAGGCCCCCCGGGCACCACAGCCAGAGGGCAGCTGCCAACGGGTTCTGCGTGTTCAACAACGTGGCCATAGCAGCTGCACATGCCAAGCAGAAGCACGGGCTACACAGGTGTGTGCCAGGCTGGCTGCAGGGTGTGGGCCCAGGCCACACAGCAAGGGGCGGCACAGGTGGTGAGAGAACCCAGCCAGCATTTTCCCATCCCTGGCCGGGCTCCTCGAGGTGGGAGGCCCTGCCCCTCAGCCAGCAGCGCTGTCTGTGCCCAGGATCCTCATCGTGGACTGGGATGTGCACCATGGCCAGGGGATCCAGTATCTCTTTGAGGATGACCCCAGGTGAGCAAGGGTGCAGACAGCACCCTTTCCTGCAACCCCAGCCTGGCCTGGGAAAATCCAAGGGCAAGATACAGACGTGCTCGGGTCAGGGTTCTACGGGCAGCTGTAGAGCTGTTGAGGGTCCTGACCTCTGATCTCTGGCCCTGGCTGGCCGTTGGCAGCGTCCTTTACTTCTCCTGGCACCGCTATGAGCATGGGCGTTTCTGGCCTTTCCTTCGAGAGTCAGATGCAGACGCAGTGGGGCGGGGACAGGGCCTCGGCTTCACTGTCAACCTGCCCTGGAACCAGGTGCCTACCCTCAAGCCCCAGGCCCCCACCCAGACCCCTCCCCCCAGCCCCCTCCCCTGCCCCACAGTTCAGGATGTAGCCTGGGATGTCCTGCCAGGTCGGGATGGGAAACGCTGACTACGTGGCTGCCTTCCTGCACCTGCTGCTCCCACTGGCCTTTGAGGTGACTGCACGGAGGATTCCCCCAGGGCAGCCGGGTGGGAGGGAACTTGGTGCCTGGAGCGCCACGGTGAGGGCAGGCGGAGGGTTATGAGCTGCCCCACTGCTGCCTGGCAGGGAAGAGTGCTCAGGAGGGGATGGGATGGGCCTGGCTTGCCCTCACCTGGGCTCCAGCCCCTCTCTCAACCCTCCCCACCCCGGCCTGACCTGTAGTTTGACCCTGAGCTGGTGCTGGTCTCAGCAGGATTTGACTCAGCCATCGGGGACCCTGAGGTGAGGGCCTTGCCTGGCCAGGGAGGGCTTCTAGGGTCCTGGAGCCCAGGTCCCCCATCACACATGGCTTTGGTTCCAGGGGCAAATGCAGGCCACGCCAGAGTGCTTCGCCCACCTCACACATCTGCTGCAGGTGCTGGCCGGCGGCCGGGTCTGCGCCATGCTGGAGGTGACTGGGGAGGGCACACAGGGAGGGTTCCTGGGCCAGAGGTCTGGGGGTCAGGAGCATGGGAGCCAGGTGCCCGCGTGGTACTTGGGAGGGGCATCCTGCCTGGGATAGAGCCAGGCAAGGGCCCTCCTGGTGACACCCCATCCCAGTGCTATCTCTGCCCCAATCATGTCTCCACCCTCCTCCCAGGGCGGCTACCACCTGGAGTCACTGGCTGAGTCAGTGTGCATGACAGTACAGGCGCTGCTGGGCGACCCGGCTCCACCCCTGTCAGGGCTCATGGTGCCATGTCAGAGGTTCGAGGGGAGGGAGGGCAGGCGGGGCTGGGGTGTGAGGCCAGGCGTCACCACTGTTGTGTCTCCCCCACAGTGCCCTGGAGTCCATCCAGAGTGCCCGTGCTGCCCAAGCCCCGTACTGGAAGAGCCTGCAGCTGCAAGGTCAGTGTGGCCAGGTGCTAGGCTGCAGGATCCCACCTCAGGCTCCGTGCAGTGGCTATGACTCTGAACTGTCCCTAGATGTGACCCCTGTGCCGACGAGCCCCAGCACCCACTCCCCAGAGGGGAGGCCTCCACCTCTGCTGCCTGGGGGTCCCATGTGTAAGGCAGCTGCACCTGCACCTGCACCGAGCTCCCTCCTGGACCAGCTGTGCCTCTGCCCTGCACCCTCTGTCCGCACCACCGTTGCCCTGACAGCGCCAGATATCACACTGGTCCTGCCCCCTGATGTCATCCAACAGGAAGGGTCAGCCCTGAGGGAGGAGACAGAAGCCTGGGCCAGGTGGGCAGGGCTGGCCTGGGGAGGATGGGGCCGCATCTACACCTGTGCGTGTGTGTGCCTGACGTGTAGTCACTACGTGTCTGTGTGTCCCTCTGGTCTGTCCACCACAGGCCACACGAGTCCCTGGCCCGGGAGGAGGCCCTCACTGCACTTGGGAAGCTCCTGTACCTCTTAGATGGGATGCTGGATGGGCAGGTGGGAGCACCTGTGAGGGGTTGGGGGTGCTGTGGACCTAGGGGCAGGGACCAGGACCTGCCAACGAGATGTGGCCTGTCCAGAGGAGGGCTGGGTGGTGCAGAACCACATGGATGTGAACGTTGCCTTGTGCCAAGAACGGTTCTCAGAACAGCCCCAGGGATGGGGATCACCAGCGTGTCTGACCTCTGACCTCAGCTTCTTCAGTTAAATGCTCTTTGGCAGAGAGGTGAAGGGGGTGATTTAAAGTATACATTTAGGCAGGGTGCAATGGCTCATGCCTGTAATAACAGCAGTTTGGGGGGCCAAGGTGGGAGGAATGTTTGAGCTCAGGAGTTCAAGACCAGCCTAGAGAACATACAGAGACCCTGTCTCCACAAAAAATAAAAAAGTCAGCCAAGTGTGGTGGCGTGTGCCTGTAGTTCAGTTACTTAGGAGGCTGAGGCAGGAGGATCACTTAAGCCCAGTAGTTTGAGACTGCGGTGAGCTATAATTGCGCCACTGCACGCCAGCCTGGGTACAGAACAAGTCCCTGTCTCTCAAAAAAAAAAAAAAAAAAAAAAAAGAAAGAAAAAAAATTACAGACGTAAGCATCTTATTTACAGAAGCAGAGTAATTGACCTGAGTGTAAGAAGTGTGGCTGGCAGTAGCCACAGAGATACACGGAATGCAGGGAACCGTGGATCTGTTTACCTGGCTCGGGAGTTGGCTGCTGCCTCGTCCTCCACTGTTTATTCATCCCACAGGTGAACAGTGGCATTGCAGCCACTCCAGCCTCTGCTGCAGCAGCCACCCTGGATGTGGCTATTCAGAGAGGCCTGTCCCACGGAGCCCAGAGGTAAGCCTCACTTGACCATCCGGAGCCTCTGAGGGCAGGACCTGTGGGCACCCCTATCCTGGCTGGCCAAGCAGAGAGAGCTCTGGGAATGGACTCTGGACAACAGGAACACCTGTCCTGAGGCCAGCTCTTCCTCCAGGCTGCTGTGTGTGGCCCTGGGACAGCTGGACCGGCCTCCAGACCTCGCCCATGACGGGTAGGACTCTCACGTCTTGCATCTGTCCAGCCATGGATGTGAATGGGCATGCGACGGATGTGTGCCTGGGCCCCAGGGTGACGGGTGGGTGGGGCACTTGGTACTGAATGGAGCCTTCCTCAGCTGGGGTTTGGGAGAAGGGCTGCTACAGGCAATGCCAGGTGGGTCTCCAGCACAGAGGCTCAGCAGTCACAGCACCCCTGCCCATGGCCCTGTGAATGCTCTTCCACCTCTGCCTCTGTGGTCTGGGCTCAGGAGGGTGAGCAGGGCCTTACACTTATGCACATGTGTCCTGGAAGGAGGACTCTGTGGCTGAACATCGGGGGCAAGGAGGCAGCCGCCCTATCCATGTTCCATGTCGCCACGCCACTGCCAGTGGTGAGTGACCACGCCCCGCAGCAAGGCAGGTGCTGGGGAGCCCATGGATGTGTGCCGCTGCTGCTTGCTGGCATGTCATGATAGCAGGCCTCTGGTCCTTCCTGTCTCCCTGCTCCTGCTCCAGGGGTCCTGAGATTGAGAGGTTGGGGGGCCAGAGCCAGCAGGTGTCTGTAGATGAGGAGCTGGGCTCTGCTGTCCCCACAGATGACTGGTGGCTTCCTGAGCTGCATCTTGGGCTTGGTACTGCCCCTGGCCTATGGCTTCCAGCCTGACCTGGTGCTAGTGGCGCTAGGGCCTGGCCATGGCCTGCAGGGCCCCCACGCTGCACTCCTGGCTGCCATGCTTCGGGGACTGGCAGGGGGCCGAGTCCTGGCCCTCCTGGAGGAGGTAAGCTGGGCAGGGTGGAGGTGCTGTGGGGTGGGATGAGGGGAAGGACCAATGACTGCTTCCGTCTTCGCCCCTGGCCCAGGACTCCACACCCCAGCTAGCAGGGATCCTGGCCCGGGTGCTGCGTGGAGAGGCACCTCCTAGCCTAGGCCCTTCCTCTGTGGCCTCCCCGGAGGACGTCCAGGCTCTGATGTACCTGAGAGGGCAGCTGGAGCCTCAGTGGAAGATGCTGCAGGTGAGGCTGATTGCGGAGGCATGGCTCTGCCCTGGGGCCCGGCTCTGCCGCAGAGGTCGGTGGGGAGGGCAGGGCAAGTGAGTGCTGAGAACCAGCTCCAGTGCAGGAGGCCAGCTGCGCGCCTCCTCCCGGCTCCTCCTCCTGTAGTGCCGTCCTCACCTGGTGGTTTGAAATCGGCCAAGGTGGGTGCATTTACGCCGCAGAAATGACACCGCACGCCAGCGCCTCGCTGCCGCGATCCGGACCCCAAGCCCGCGGCTCCCACGACTCCGGGGCACGGAACCCCGCCCCCTCCCACCCCCGTCCCCTCCCACCCGTGCTTCCCCCGCTCCACCCCTCACTTCGCCTCGCCCCGCCCCACCCATCGCGCCCTGGCCCGTCCCATCCGAGCCCATGCAACCCACCCTCGGTCCCGTTCCGGCCCCTGCGCCCCGTTGCCCTTCCCTCCCCGCCCTTGCGCCGTTAGTAAACATGGGTCAAACGAAACCCTGGTTCTGCCTCCTTTACTGAACACGCTGGCCTCGATCTCTCAACCGCTGTGCGGGACTCAGGCCGGAAGTGCGCCGCGGCCCGGGTCTCACTTTCACGCGCAGCCGGCGTTCCCGTGACGTATTTCCGGCGCGCCCGCCCTAGCGCTCTTCACGCTCGCGCTGCTGTGACGCGACGGAGGCGGCGGGAGCGGGAGCGGTGGGCTTTTTCCACAGGTGACGCCTGGAGAACGGGTGGACGTGCAGGCCGGGAACCACCCGGCTGCGCCCCCAGACTCTCCGCTGCCCACGAGTCTCGGAGTGGCACCCTCTCCTGGTCGTCTCCTCTCGTGGGGCCCGAAGAACGGGGCAAAGCCGAGTTCGTGCGCTGTACTGCGCGGGCGCGCGTTTCGTTCTTCGGGTTTGCCATGGTTCTGTGACTCCCTAAAGGTTGAGGGCTACTGAATTGGAAGAAACGCCAAGCTGGCTTCTGGGGGGCTGCCGGGCGCCGGGCAGCGTGCTTGGGCTGGGGAGGGCAGGGCGTGTTTACTCTGAGTAGAGCAACCGCAAAACCTCCTTTAGAAAATACCCGTTCTGAGCTGCGGCGTTGGAGAGGCCGCCTGTCGTTCAGCCCCTTCAGACCCTCTCTCACTCCGTCTTCCGGAGCGTGAGTGAAGCCCGGGTGAGGTGTTTTCCCACACGCCGGGGGCCCGGAGCTGAGAAGGGGCATGGCCAGCATCACGCAGCTGTTCGACGACCTGTGTGAGGCCCTCCTGCCGGCTGCCAAGACTCACCTGGGCCAGCGCAGTGTGAACCGGAAGAGGGCAAAGCGGAGCCTCAAGAAGGTGGCCTACAATGCGCTTTTCACAAATCTTTTTCAAGATGAGACTCAACAGCTGCAGCCTGACATGTCAAAACTACCAGCGAGAAACAAGATCCTCATGTTGTCCTTTGACTTGAGAGTGGGTGGCCTGGGCCCCGAGGCCGACCGTCTGGAGGAGCTTGTGGAGGAGCTTGAAGCAGCCCCTTGCTGTCCGCTTTTGGAGGTGGGGTCTGTTTTGGACCTCCTGGTTCAGCTGGCAGGGAGTGGTCCCCCTCAACTTCTGCCGAGAAATCGAGACTACTTCCTTAACAACAAGCACGTGGGGAGAAACGTTCCGTATAGCGGCTATGATTGCGACCACCTGAGTGTGTTTGAGACGGACGTTCAGTCTCTGATCTCCAGAGAAGAGTGTTTGTGTCACAGCATGATCCAGGAAACACTTCAGGTTATGGAGGCTGCTCCAGGCACCGGCCTGCCCACCGTCGGGCTCTTCTCATTTGGTGACTCTTGTGGTGACAGGTTTGAGAGAGACACCCGGGTCTCGCTCTTCGGGGCCCTTGTGCACAGCCGCACTGACGACATGGACGTCCGACTGGGCCTGCCCCCCGTGCCAGACAATGCAGACCTCTCTGGGCTGGCCATTAAGGTAGAATGTTTGGTTTTTCCTCTTTCACCTTTCTTGGGGTTTGGAAAATGCTTTTTGTGACTTTCTTTCTTTTTTTTTTTTTTTTTTTTGAGACAGGGTCTCTGTCACTCAGGCTGGAGTGCAGTGGCGTGATCTTGGCTCACTGCAACCTCCACCTCCTGGGCTCAAGCAATTCTCGTACCTCAGCCTCCCGAGTAGCTGGAATTACAGTCACCTGCCTCCACGCCCGGCTAATTTTTTTTTTTTGGAGATGGAGTCTCGCTCTGTTGCCCAGGCTGGAGTGCAGTGGTGCGATCTTGGCTCACTGTAACCTCCACCTCCCGGGGTCAAGTAGTTCTCCTCCCTCAGCCTCTTGCATAGCTGGGATTACAGGCGTGAGCCACCATGCCCAACTAATTTTTGTATTTTTAGTAGAGACGGGGTTTCACCATGTTGGCCAGGCTGGTCTCCAACTCCTGACCTCAGTTGATCCACCCACCTCGGCCTCCCAAAGTGCTGGAATTAAGGTCACTGCGCCTGGCCCAGTGACCTTCCTTTTATTCTGGTAAAAGGGGGGATAGTCTGGTGGCTGCATTGTGGGGTGGGGCTACTGGAGTGGACTTACTGGCGGCCACCCTGCTCTGCAAGGACAGTGCTGCCCACCTGCCGGCCAAAGCAACGTGCTGCTTTTCATCTTTACCTAACGGGGCATGTCATTAAGCCTCCTCTGCCTTCTAGAGCTGCCATTTAAATTTAAGTTAATTAAAACAAAATAAAAAATTCAGTTCCTCAGCCCCACAAGCCACATTTCAAGTGCTCAGTAGCCACATGTGGCAAAAGTGTTCACGTTTTGTGATAACGTGCAATTGGATATGCTTTTGCTGTCTGTTGCCTGAGGCTTTCCCATGGTCCCGTGTAGCTCCTCATTTGAGTTTTGTATTTTCTTGCTTTATCAGTGTTGCCCAAAGGATACATTGTTACTAGTCATTCTATTCCTGTGAGATAGCTAGACAATTTATAAACATATCTAATGCTACAGCAAATGTCTTGGTGTACAGCAGTTTTGTGTTTTGTTTTTGAGACAAGTCTCGCTCTATTGCCCAGGCTGGAGTGCGATGGTGTGGTCTCGGCTCACTGCAACCTCCATCTCCTGGGTTCAAGTGATTCTCCTGCCTCAGCCTCCTGAGTATCTGGGACTCCAGGCGTGTGTCACCATACCCAGCTAATTTTTATATTTTTTTGTATTTGTATTTTTTTAAATTTGATTTGATTTTTTTTTTTTTTTTTTTGAGACAGAGCCTTGCTCTGTTGCCCAGGCTGGAGTGCGGTGGCACGATCTTGGCTCACTGCAAGCTCCGCCTCCCAAGTTCACGCCATTCTCCCACCTCAGCCTCCCGAGTAGCTGGGACTACAGGCGCCGCCACCACGCCTGGCTAACTTTTTGTGTTTTTAGTAGAGACGGGGTTTCACTGTGTTAGCCAGGATGGTCTCAATCTCCTGAGCTCGTGATCCACCCGCCTCGGCCTCCCAAAGTGCTGGGATTACAGGCGTGAGCCTGGCCTGATTTTTTTTTTTTCTTTTTTTTTTTGAGATGGAGTCTCACTCTGTCGCCCAGGCTGGAGTGCAGTGGCTGGATCTCAGCTCACTGCAATCTCCGCCTTTCAGGTTCACGCCATTCTCCTGCCTCAGCGTCCTGAGTAGCTGGGACTATAGGCGCCCGCCACCACGCCCAGCTAGTTTTTTGTATTTTTTTGTGGAGACAGGGTTTCACCGGGTTAGCCAGGATGGTCTCGATCTCCTGACCTCGTGATCCGCCCGCCTCCGCCTCCCAAAGTGCTGGGATTACAGGCGTGAGCCTGGCCTGATTTTTGTTTTTTTTTTTGAGATGGAGTCTTGTGTAGGGACCAGTCCTACAGGGTCTGTGGGTTTTTCTCCCCATGTGTGGAGATGAGACATTGTAGAAATAAAGGCAGAAGACAAAGAGATAAAAGAAAAAACAGGTGGGCCCGGGGGACCACTACCACCAAGACACAGAGACCGGTGGTGGCCCCGAATGCCAGGCCGTGCTGTTATTTATTGGATATAAGACAAGGGGGCAGAGTAAGGAGCATGAGCCATCTCCAGTGATAGGTAATGTCATGTGGGTCATGTGTCCGTCCACTGGACAGGGGACCCTTCCCTGTTTGGCAGCCGAGGTGGAAAGAGAGAGAGAGGAGACAACTTACACCATTATTTCTGCATTTCAGAGACTTTTAGTCTTTTCACTAAATCTGCTACTGCTATCTAGAAGGCAGAGCCAGGCGTACAGGATGGAACATGAAAGCGGACCGGGAGCGTGACCACTGAAGCACAGCATCGCAGGGAGACATTTAGGCCTCTGGATAACTGCGGGCGGGCCTGACTGATATCTGGCCCTCCACAAGAGGTGGTGGAGCAGAGTCTTGTCTAACTCCCCCACCGGGGAAAGGGAGACCCCCCACCCCGCCGCCCCTGTCTGCTAAGTAGCGGGTGCTTTTCCTTGACATTGACGCTATCGCTAGGTAACCGGCGTCTTCCCAGGCGCTGGCGTTACCACTAGACCAAGGAGCCCTCTAGTGGCCCTGCCCGGGCATAACAGAAGGCTCTTAGTCGTCTGGTCACTTCTCACCCTGTCCCTTCAGCTTCTGTCTCTGTATGGCCTGGTTTCTCCTAAGTTATAATTGTAGAGTGAAGATTATTATGATGTTGGGATAAAGAATAATTGCTACAAACTAATGATTAATGGTCATATATAATCATATCTATGATTTATATCTAGTATAACTGTTCTTCTTTTGCTTTTTTATTTTATTTTATTTTATTTATTTATTTATTTTTGAGACTGAGTCTCGCTCTGTCGCCCAGCGCCCAGGCTGGAGTGCAGTGGCCGGATCTCAGGTCACTGCAAGCTCCGCCTCCCAGGTTTACGCCATTCTCCTGCCTCAGCCTCCGGAGTAGCTGGGACTACAGGCGCCTGCCACCTTGCCCGGCTAGTTTTTTGTATTTTTTAGTAGAGACGGGGTTTCACCGGGTTAGCCAGGATGGTCTCAATCTCCTGACCTAGTGATCCGCCCGTCTTGGCCTCCCAAAGTGCTGGGATTACAGGCTTGAGCCACCGTGCCCGGCGCTTTTTTATTTTTTTTGAGACGGAGTCTCGTTCTCGCCCAGGCTGGAGTGCAGTGGTGCGATCTCGGCTCACTGCAAGCTGCACCTCCTGGGTTCACACCATTCTCCTGCCTCAGCCTCCTCAGCAGCTGGGACTACAGGCGCGCACCACCACACTCGGCTAATGTTTTGTATTTTTAGTAGAGACGGGGTTTCACCATGGTGTTGATCTCCTGACCTCGTGATCCGCCTGCCTTGGACTCCCAAAGTGCTGGGATTACAGGTGTGAGCCACCACGCCCAGCCTACAATTCTGATTTTATATATTTTCTTTATTATACCGGAACGGCTTGTGCCCTCAGTCTCTCGCCTTGGCACCTGGGTGGCTTGCTGCCCACAGTCTTGCTCTGTTGCCCAAACCGGAGTGCAGGGGTGCAGTCTTGGCTCACTGCAACCTCTGCTTCCCGGGTTCAAGCAATTCTCCTGCCTCAGCCTCCTGAGTAGCTGGGACTACAGGTGCCCGCCACCATGCCCAGCCAATTTTTATATTTTTGATAGAGATGGGGTTTCACCATGCTGGCCAGGCTGGTCTCAAACTCCTGACCTCAGCTGATCCACCCGCCTCAGCCTCCCATAGTGCTGGAGTTACAGGTGTGAGCCACCGTGCTTGGCCCCAGTGTACAGTAATTTTTTAATGTTTAGTGTGATTTTTTTATTCGGGGTTCCCCACAATGGAATTTCCAGGTCAGAGGCATCTCAGAAAGTTTCACTGTAAGTTCCACTGAGGCTTATGTGTTATATGGAATTGGAAATTGGCAGCCTTGACAAATTATTTTGTTTAATTCCTTAAATGGCTCATTGGGGGAAAACATTATATGGTACACATGTGCTTGAGAAAAACAGAAGAAACATTTTGATAGGTCTTTGCCTCTAACAAGGCAATGGAACTAGGTGGATGAAGTTCCTGGAATTCTCATTGCCCTTGGATGAAATGTGGACACAGGAATGAGTGGTGGTTTGCCCTTCCCTGTGTCTCCAGGTCCCACCGAGTGTGGATCAGTGGGAAGACGAAGGATTCCAGTCAGCATCCAACCTGACTCCTGATTCTCAGTCTGAGCCCAGCGTGACCCCAGACGTGGACCTGTGGGAAGCCGCACTCACCTATGAGGCCAGCAAGCGGAGGTGCTGGGAGCGAGTCGGCTGGTGTGTGCCCTTCTTTGCCTTGGCATGCAGTGCCCTTACCCCTGCATGAGCGTGGCCTTGGGTGGGGTGTGTGGGGGGCGTTGTGTACTCAGGGTCCCAGGCAGTTGTGATGAGTTAGGAATCTAAGCTAGTGTCCCACATTGACTGAGTCCTGGGAGTTAAGACAGATGCAGAGGGGAAAACACTAACAGCCTTTTTTTTTTTTTTTTTTTGAGACGGAGTCTCGCTCTGTCGCCCAGGCTGGAGTGCAGTGGCTGGATCTCAGCTCACTGCAAGCTCCGCCTCCCGGGTTCACGCCATTCTCCTGCCTCAGCCGCCTGAGTAGCTGGGACTACAGGCGCCCACCACCACGCCTGGCTAGTTTTTTGTATTTTTTTAGTAGAGATGGGGTTTCAGTGTGTTAGCCAGGATGGCCTCGATCTCCTGACCTTGCGATCCGCCTGTCTCGGCCTCCCAAAGTGCTGGGATTACAGGCTTGAGCCACCGCGCCCGGCCACTAACAGCCTTTAAGGAGGCCTCACCTCCCCACCCAGTAACCAGATCACACCTGCCGGGCAGAGCAGTCGGAGCAGCTAAGTTATGTCCTTACGACCAGTCAGAGGTGCCTGAGAGCTGCCTGGCAGGCTGTGTGGTTAGTGCCAGGAAGAAATGCTCACTGGGCACAGGGTGCTGATGAAGGAGCCTTTTCTATCCGTGTCCGGAGGAGTTGGGAGTGGCAGTCTGGGCGATGAGAAGCTCCAGCTGCAGCAGCTTTTCCCTGACTGGTGCCAGCAGCTTGCTCTCCGGATGCAGTAGCCACTCACTCCCTGGCTCATCTGGGTCCAGAGGCCTCTGCACTCAGGGCCTCTCAGAGTCTTTAATGTGGTGGCATCTTTTGATAACTCCCAGAACCCAGATAGAGAATATGCATTTTGGCCAGGCACGGTGGCTCACAGCTGTGATCCCAGCACTTTGGGAGACTGAGGTGGGCAGATCACTTGAAGTCAGGATTTTGAGACCGGCCTGGCCAACATGGTGAAACCCCGTCTCTACTAAAAATACAAAAAATTAGCTGGGCATGGTGGCGGGCACCTGTAGTCCCAGCTACTCGGGCGGCTGAGGCAGGAGAATGGCGTGAACCTGGGAGGCGGAGCTTGCAGTGAGCCGAGATCGCGCCACTGCACTCCAACCTGGGCGACTGAGTGAGACTCCGTCTCAAAAAAACAAACAAACATATATATATATATAAATTAGCTGGGCATGGTGGCGTATGTAATCCCAGCTACTCAGGAGATTAAGGCACGAGAATTGTTTGAACCTGGGAGGCAGAGTTTGCAGTGAGCCGAGATTGCACCACTGCACTCTAACCTGGGCGACAGAGTGAGACTATCTCAAAAAAAAAAAAAAAAAAGAATAATACATATTTCCCCAAATGTTTGGCCATGGAATGCCCCGTTCACATCCAGTCCACTGGTGATCCTGTGGGTACCGGTTTGGGGAGTGTTGGGTGAAAGAGTCAGGGCTGGCCGGGAGCCGAGTGCTCTGGGATGCAGTGCCTGGGCTGTTGCAGCCTGGACAGGAGCATGTGCCCGCGGGCAGGCATGCTTTCCTGACATGAAGATTCCTGCAGGGATGACTGTCTGCCTGCCTCCCAGCACAGTGGTGGTGGCCTTATCCTGACTGCCAGGACCTTCCTGCCGTGTCACTTCCTGCTGTTGCATCAGTCAAAGCAAATCTCATGGTCCTGCTCTCTGCCAATCCCTCACATGTTTAAAAACTGGCCCTACAAGTTATTGCTGTATTCTGTACATGTCTGCTAATAGTATTTATTTTCTCTTTTTTTGGTATTTATTTATTTATTTGAGGTGGAGTCTCACTCTGTTGCCCAGGCTAGAGTGCGGTGGCACCATCTTCAGCTCACTGCAAGCTCTGCCTCCCGGGTTCAAGTAATTCTCCCTCTCTCGGCCTCCTGAGTGGCTGGGATTACAGTCACCCACCACCATGCTTGGCTAATGTTTGTAAAAACTCAGAACCTTCCAACACCGGGTTCCCTTCACCTGGAACATTCTTCAGCTCACCATAATTAGGCAACTCCTTTCATCCTAAACAAACTAGGTCCCCCAAACTCTCCCTCATAAATCAATCTATCAATCTATCTATCTATCTATCTATCTATCTTTCTTTCTTTCTTTTTTCTCTCTCTCTCTCTCTTTTCTTTCTCTCTCTCTCTCTCTCTCTCCCCCTCTCTCCTTCCTTTCTCCCTCTCCCTCTTTCTTTTTTTTTTTTTTTTTTTTGAGACGGAGTCTCGCTCTGTTTCCCAGGCTGGAGTGCAGTGGTGTGATCTTGGCTCACTAATTTTTTTGTATTTTTAGTAGAGATGGGGTTTCACCATGTTAGCTAGGATGGCCTCAATCTCCTGACCTCGTGATCTGCCCGCCTTGGCCTCCCAAAGTGCTGGAATTGCAGGCATGCGCCACAACGCCTGGCTAATTTTGTATTTTTAGTAGAGATGGGGTTTCTCCATGTTGGTCACGCTGGTCTCAAACTCCATCTCAAAAAAAAAAAAAAGAAAATTTGTGAGTTTTTTTTCTGTATCCATCTCTTACAGTTTTTTTGAGGTGGGGTAGTAAAATTTATATAATGTTTTTACCGTCTTAACCAGTTGTACCGCTTTGTAATGCTGTGTGTATTTTCACTGCTGCACAGCAAATCTGCAGGAAACTCTGAATCCATTAAACAGCTTCTCATTCACTCCACTTTTTTTTTTTTTTTTTCCGAGACGGAGTCTTGCTCTGTTGCCCAGGCTGGAGTGCAGTGGCACGATCTTGGCTCACTGCAACCTCCACCTCCTGGGTTCAAGCCATTCTCCTGCCTCAGCCTCCCGAGTAGCTGGGATTACAGGCGCCTGCCACCATGCCTGGCTAGTATTTGTGTTTTTAATAGAGTCAGGGTTTCACCATTTGGGCCAGGCTGGTCTTGAACTTCTGACCTCGTGATCTGCCTTTCTTGGCCTCCCAAAGTGTTGAGATTACAGGTGTGAGCCACCGCGCCCGGCCTCCACTTTCTGTCTCTAGGATTTTGTTCACTGTAGGGACCTCGTGTAAGTGGAGTCACACAGTGTTTTGTGATGGCTCATTTCACTCCACGCGGCATCCTCGAGCGCTGTCCCTGTGGAGACAGTGTTTTGTGATGGCTCACTGCACTCCATGTGGCGTCCCTGAGTGCCGTCCTTTCTGGAGCATGTGTCTGAGCTGCCTTCCTTTATAAGGCTGAATGATGGGCGGGGGTCTGCATGGGCCACCTGTATTTATCCTCTTCTGCTGGGTGCTCAGGCTCCTCTACCCCTGGCTATTGTGGATGATGTTGCTGTGGATGGGGGTGTGGGTGCTGCTGTAGACAGGCATGTGGATGCTTCCATGGACCTGGGCGTGGATGCTGCCGTGGACAAGGATGTGGATGCTGCTGTCGTGAATGGGTGTGGATGCTGCCGTGGACCGGGGTGTATGTGATGCTGCTGTGAACAGGTGTGTGGATGCTGCCATGGACTGGGGTGTGGATACTGCCATAGATGGGGGTGTTAATGATGCCATGGACAGGGGTGTGGATGATGTTGCAGTGGATAAGGGTGTGGAGATGTTCCCATGCACAGGGGTGTGGATACTGCCGTGGACAGGGATATGGATGCTGCTGTCATGAACAGGGGTGTGGATGCTGCCGTGAACAGGAGTGTGGATGATGCTGTGGACCTGGGTGTGGATCCTGCTGTGGACAGGGGTGTATATGATGCTGCTGTGCACCGTGGTGTGGATGCTGCCGTGGATGGGGTTGTGGATGATGCTGCAGTGGATAAGGGTGTGGATGATGTTCCCATGGACAGGGGTGTGGATACTGCCATGGACAGGGATGTGGGTGCTGCTGCCGTGGACAGAGGTGTGGATGATGCTGCCATGGACGGGACTGTGGATGATGCCGTGGATGGGGGTGTGGATGATGCTGCAGTGGATAAAGGTGTGGATGATGTTGCCGTGGACGGGTGTGGATACTGCCCTGGACAGGTGTGACTGATGCTGCTGTGGACAGGGGTGTGGATGATGCCATGGACATGGGTATGGATGATGCCACAGACCTGAGTGTGGATAATGCTGTCGTGAACAGGTGTGGATGGTGCTGTGGACGGGGTTGTGGATAATGCTGCTGTGAATGGGTGTGGATGCTGCCGTGGACCTGGGTGTGGATGATGCTGCCGTGGATAGGGGCGTGGATGCTGCTGCTGTGGACCTGGGTGTGGATGATGCTGCCGTGGACTTGGGTGTGGATGATGCTGCCGTGAACAGGGTTGTGGATGCTGCTGTGTACATGGGTGTACAAACCTTGTTTTGTTTCTAACAGAAGAATACTTTATGAGTAAGTCACCACCCCAAGGGCCACTGGCGTAGCCTGGGGTGCTCTTCCAGGGCTGGGCCCGTCGGATACCCCCGGCCATGCCCAGGACCCCAGGCAGGTGCCCTGGACACATTTCCACATGAGTTGTCCTGATAGAATTGATTGTGCTGGTGTTCACAGCAGTATCATCCACAAAAGGCTGGGTGGTGAGTTGGCATTTGTACATGGCTGCGTTTCTTAGAGTTTATTGTTTTGAATCACTTCCGTTCTTCTGTTCGTGCCCATTCCCGAGAGAAAGTATGCTGGTGCTGAGGTGCAGGTCATCACGTCTGCTCATGGCCTCTCTTCTGCCCCCCTCGCAGCCCCCCTGGCCACAGAGAGGAGCCTTACTTGACAGAGGCGGGAAGGGACGCTTTCGACAAGTTCTGCAGGCTCCGCCAAGGGGAGCTTCAACTGCTTGCTGGGGGCGTCCTACAGGCCCCACAGCCCGTGCTGGTGAAGGAGTGTGAGCTGGTGAAAGATGTGCTGAACGTCTTGATTGGGGTCGTGTCTGCCACGTTTTCCCTCTGCCAGGTGAGAGCTGCTCACTCCCGGCCACAGCGGCGTGGGGCTGGCCCCCTCTCTACCAGGCACTGCCCAGCCCTTTACAGGACAGAACGAGCCCCGGTGCAGGGAGTGGGGAGTGGCAGGGAAGGCCATCTTCGAGGGCCACCAGTGATGATAGTCAGCGTCATCCCATTTTGGTTCTAAAAAGTGTTAACGTTCTTTTAAAAAACTGCAGAGAAATAACATGTTTATTACTGTCGGCAAAGCGATAGGAAATGTCCCTTCCCCCATTTCCATTTCCATCTTGGAGAAGTGCCAGGCGCCTTCCGAGCCTTCCCATCGCTCGGGAGGAGCACCTGCCTGCCGAGAGCGTCCCAAGATTGGGGTCTGCGCTGCTCTTCTCACTGGACCATGGTGTCATCCGGGATGGGTCCGGGACTTGCTGGTTCTGGCACCAGCTGCAGTTTAGCCAGCCCTCTTGCTGGGCACTGAAGCCGTAAATGGATTTATTCAGAAATAGGAAGTCTTGTTCTGCAGCTTTTTCCTTCTTTGGTCTTAAATGTTCTGGCCGGGCGCGGTGGCTCACGCCTGTAATCCCAGCACTTTGGGAGGCCGAGGTGGGCGGATCACGTGGTCAGGAGATCGAGACCATCCTGGCTAACACGGTGAAACCCTGTCTCTACTAAAAATACAAAAAATTAGCCGGGCGTGGTGGCAGGTGCCTGTGGTCCCAGCTACTCAGGAGGCTGAGGCAGGAGAATGGCATGAACCTGGGAGGCAGAGCTTGCAGTGAGCCGAGATCGCACCACTGCGCTCCAGCCTGGGCGACAGAGCAAGACTCCGTCTCAAAAAAATAAAAAAAATGTTCTTTTATGGTGGCCATTCTTAGACTTCAGAATGGACTAGAAGCACAGCCAGTGACTGCCCCAGAAAAGTGCTCACCAGCAAGCTCCAGCTGCTGTCGGTGCTGACGGCGCCTGTTCTCAACACCATTCTCGCGGCTCATCTTGTCTGTTGTGGGGATAGCCTTATTGTGTGGCACCAACCCTGACTCTTTCTCTTGTTTTTTGAGACAGGATCTCACTCTTTCGCCCATGCTGGAGTGCAGTGGCACTGTCACAGCTCACAGTAGCCTCGACCTCTTAGGCTGCATCTCAATCCTCCCACCTTAGCCTCCTGTGTAGCTGGGACTACAGGCATGTGCCACCACACTCTGCTCATTTTTTCTTTTCTTTTTTTTTTTTGAGACAGAGTCTTGCTCTGCTGCCCAGTCTGAAGTGTAATGGCATGGTCTCCGCTCACTGCAAACTCCACCTCCCAGGTTCAAGCAATTCTCCTGCCTCAGCCTCCCGAGTAGCTGGAATTACAGGTGCACACCACCATGGCCGGCTAATTTTTGTATTTTTGGTAGAGACGGGGTTTCACCACGTTGCCCAGGCTGGTCTCGGACTCCTGACCTCAAGTGATCCGCCCACCTCAGCCTCCCAAAGTGCTAGGATTATAGGTGTGAACCACCACACCAGGCCCAGCCAGCTCATTTTTAAAATGTTTATAGAGATGGGGTCTTGCCGTGTTGCCCAGGCTGGTCTTGAACTCCTGGGCTCAAGTGATCTGCCTGCCTCAGCCTCCCAAAGTCCTGGGATTACAGGTGTGAGCCACCATGCCCAGCCCCTATTTTTCATTTCTGATTTTAGTAATTTGATTTTTTTCTCTTTCATAGTCATCTTTTCAAAAAAATTTTTTTTAATTTTTAAATTTTTTTTGAGACAGAGTCTTGCTCTGTCACCCAGGCTGGAGTGCAGTGGCGCTATCTCGGCTCACTGCAGGCTCCGCCTCCCAGGCCCGCCACCATGCCCGGCTAATTTTTTGTATTTTTGGTAGAGATGGGGTTTCCTCGTGTTAGCCAGGATGGTCTTGATCTCCTGACCTCGTGATCCACCTGCCTTGGCCTCCCAAAGTGCTGGGATTACAGGCATGAGCCACCGCGCCCAGCCCATAGTTGTGTTTTTTCTTAATTATTCTAGCTAAGACTTGTCAATTTTGTTGATCTTTTCAAAGAGCCAACTTTTTGTTTGGTTCTCTCTATTGTTTTTCTATTTTGTATTTTTTATTTCTTTTTGAGACACAGTCTCACTCTGTCTCCCAGGCTGGAGTACAGTGATGCGATCTCAGCTCACTGCAGCCTGCACCCCTTGGATTCAAGCAATTCTCCTGCCTCAGCCTTTCAAGTAGCTTAGACTACAGGTGTGGACTACCACGTCTGGCTAATTTTTGTATTTTTAGTAGAGATGGGGTTTCACGTGTTGACTAGGCTGATCTCAAACTCCTGACCTCAAGTGATTCACGCACCTCGGCCTTCCAAAGCGCTGGGATTACAGGTTTGAGCCACCGCGCTTGGCCTACTCTGTATTTATTTCTGCTCTAATTATCATTTGTTTTCTTCTGCTAGTTTTGGGTTTAACTGCTTTTTTTTTTTTTGAGATGGAGTCTCGCTCTGTTGCCCTGGCTGGAGTGCAGTGGCACAGTCTCGGCTCACTGCAACCTCTTCCTCCTGGGTTTGAGCAGTTCTCCTGCCGCAGCCTCCTGAGTAGCTGGGACTACAGGTGTGCAGCACCACGCCCAGCTAACTTTTTGTATTTTTAGTAGAGACAGGGTTTCATCATGTTGGCCAGGATCGTCTTGATCTCCTGACCTCGTGATGCGCTGGCCTGGGCCTCCCAAAGTGCGGGAATTAGAGGCAAGAGCCACCACACCCAGCCTAGAGATGTCTGTGTGTTTTTTTTTTTTTTTTTTTTTGAGACGGAGTCTCACTCTGTCGCCTAGGCTGGAGTGCAGTGGCACAATCTCAGCTCACTGCAACCTCTGCCTCCCACATTCAACGATTCTCTTGCCTCAGCCTCCTGAGTAGCTGGGACTACAGGTGCACACCACCATGCCCGGCTAATTTTTGTGTTTTTAGTAGAGACGGGGCTTTGCCATGTTGGCCAGGCTTATCACGAACTCCTGACCTGAAGTGATGCACCCGCCTCGGCCTCCTGAAGTGCTGGGATTACAGGCGTAAGCCACCATGCCTGGCCTAACTTAAAATTTTTGTAGAGATGGGGGTCTCGCTATGTTGCCCAGGCTGGTCTCAGACTCCTGGGCTCAAGTGATCCTCCTGCCTCAGCCTCCCAAAGTGCTGGGATTATATGTGTGAGCCACTGTGCTTGGCCTAACAGCTCTTTTTAAAATATCTCTTTAGGATATACACAGTGCTGTTGTGATTTAGTATCTTGTTTCCTTGTAATGTGGGATATCTCTTTTCCTTTCTAACGTGCGTATTTGCAGCTGTAACCTCCCTCCTGGCTTCTGCTGCACCCCGTTCATTTCGGTTGTCATGAGCCCTCTACTGGGGGTCTCCACTCTCTGGTTACAAACACATTGCGGGGAATGTGCTGTGGCAAGTCTTTGTGCATCTTCCATCGTTTCCGCTCTTTCATCCCGAAGAGTTGAATGAGCGGGTCTCACGGCAAACATGTTTTATAGCTTCTGCCCTAGGAGGCTGTCTGTGTACTTGTGTCCTGTGGAAGGTGTTCTGTTGTTTCCTACCCTTTTCTACACTTGGCATTTTAAACATGTATTTTTCAGTGTGGTGAGAATTTGTGCCTTGTTTTGGTTTGTACGTTTTTGTCCCTCAGTGTAGGAGTTCTGGGTGCGCCTTCTGGGTGTTTGCTTTTGGGTCCTGGGGGCACTCTAGGTGGTGTGGGGTTGGGTGCAAGGGTGGAAGGAGATGGCACCTTCCTGGGGGTCTGGGTGCCTGGCCTCTGAGCAGTGTCCTCTACCCCTGTGCAGCCGGCCCAGGCCTTTGTGGTGAAGCGGGGTGTCCACGTGTCGGGAGCGTCTCCCGAGAGCATCAGCAGCCTGCTCTCGGAGGTGGCCGAGTATGGGACCTGCTACACGCGCCTGAGTCACTTCTCTCTGCAGCCGGTCCTGGACTCTTCGTACAGCAAGGGCCTCGTGTTCCAGGTACGGCCTCTGCCTCGTGGCTGTCACACATCCTTGTGAGAACGGTGCACACGACCTGGAAAAGAGAATCTCAGAAGTCCTTCTGCAGGACCAGACAGTCTAAACCTTTTCTTTCCTTGCTAACATCTGAAACCCAATAGTGGCTCATGAGGGATGGGTCAGTGAAGATGTTTTACCTCACTGGAAACCTGGGGCAGATGCGTGTGGGCCCTGGGGTGTGTGGGAGGCAGGTGCAGCCAGCATTCGGGGCATGCGAGGCAGGAAAGGCGTTAGTGGGGCTCTTGCCGCCTGCTCCCCAGTGGGCCCGGCACATTGCGGATGACTGACACTGCCCGGCCCTCGTGTTGGGTGAATTTACACTGCTGGGCGTTCTGAGCCAAGTCTGGCTCCGGAAGCCGCTCTTTGGTGAGTCTTGAAGCTGGCTCATATGCTGAGTAGAGACCCATGGGACAGAGGCTGCACCTTGATTGGGAGAGAATAGGCAGGCGGATGATGGGTAATTTGGGGGCTGAGAGGAGGGTGTTCGGAAGGTGGGCAGAGAGCACTGGAGGAGCCAGGTGGCGCAGCCTCCTTCAACTGTTGCTGCCACAGCAGGGGCTGTAGGGTGGGGTGATGTGGTGAGGTTTAGGTTTTAGACGGGCTGCGGAGGTGGGCATGGTGGGAGCTGCATGGGACGGGGAGAGCTTCTAGGCAGAGGCTTAGGCCTGGGGGACTTGAGGGCTGCAGATGGTGGAGAAGGGGGCAGAGCAGGGACACTGAGAAGGGCTGGACTGTGGTTCCCACTCATCTGGCAGGCGTGGCCAGGAGGGTTCTGGGGTGGGTGGACTGAGATTGGTCCAGGGTGCGCCTGTCTTGGTGTGACCTGCAGGGCCTGCTGCTGTGGCATTGCCCAGGATGCTGGTGCCACTGAGACCACTGTGGTCCGAGCAGACGCAGCTCTCACAGCACTAGTGTCTGTGCACAGAGCGCAGCCGCCATTTCCCCCCTCACCCCTCAACCCCTATGCCACGCCCCTGGGGCAGCTGGTCTCAGATGAGAGGAAGGGTTGGTGGGGGGGACCACAGCTTCTGGCTTCTTGTGGACGGGCCACATTTCCACCTGGTCCAGTGGTGGGACGTGGCTCACAGAGGCCCATTGCTTGGAAATGGAGCCCAGAGCTGAGGCAGGAAACAAAGCGCTGTGCCCAGTACTGGTGCCCCTCAGGCCCTGGTCACAGCTGCGTCCATGTGCTTGGCCGCCCTCCTCCCAGCCTCTTTGCCCACAGGCCTTCACCAGTGGCCTGAGGAGGTACCTGCAGTATTACCGGGCCTGCGTCCTTTCCACTTCGCCCACCCTGAGCCTCCTCACCATTGGTTTTCTCTTCAAGAAACTGGGCCGGCAGCTCAGGTGAGCCTCAGCATGGCGACTGAGCAGGGGACTTTGCAGGAGTGGCATGGAGCCTGCTGGGTGATGGAGGGTTTGCTCTGCTTCCTGGCAAGGAGGGCCTGTGAGAACAGCCCTCAGCAGGTGACTGGATGGCCCTTGGCTGGCCGAGTTCACCAGGTGCCAGGCAGAGTGGGTGTGTCTCCCATGGGCCTACCACAGCTGGCCCCATCCAGGCCCTCCAGGCCTGGTGGCTCCTGCCTAATTGGCACACAGGGTCCCTAGGGATGTGGCTTCTGGTACACACAAGCTGGTTACTGAGCAACCAGGCTGGGGAGCTACTGGCAAGTGCTGTCAGACGAGGAAGAGTGAGGAGTTGGGCGTTGGGAGCAGTGGGAGAGGCGACCTTCCAGGCAGAGGAGCAGAATGTGGCAGCCCTGAGGAGACCCAAGGGCTGAGACACCGTGGGGCAGGGGAGCCTGGGCTGTGAAGGCGCGAGTTGTGGCGGGTGCTTGGTGCCACTGTGTGGGTGGGAGGGGCTCTCAGGTGCAGCCCCCGGAAGTGGGAGGATCAGGGTGATTAGTGTGTTGGCCAGAGCCTGGGAGGGAGGGGCCTGTTGGGTGTGGGTACTTCAGTGGGTCTGTGTGGACAGTGCAGAGGCCCAGGGCTGGGCACAAGTCCTCCAGGGAGCCCATTTCTGGGTCGCTGGGGTGCATGTGGTTTTTAAAGACTGCATCTGAAGTCAGTTGCTCCACGGAGCATGAAGATACATGGAGATTGTGCTCATGATCTGATCCAGGCCTGGGGACCCTGAGCCCGGTCACCTGGTCTGATCCTGCCTCTGGGTCTAGGTACCTGGCCGAGCTCTGTGGCGTTGGTGCTGTGCTCCCAGGCACCTGCGGAGGAGGCCCCAGGGCTGCGTTTCCCACCGTGAGTTGTGCGTCCCTGCCGAGTGTGTCAGCCTGGCGGGTTCCAGGAAAGGGGGCGACTGAGCGTGTCCCTGGGGGGCTGCTGCCGGCAGGGCTGCATCTGACTCCCAGGGCTGGGTGCACTGAGCTGCCCCCCCCGCCCCCTTTGTGGTCTGCAGGGTGTGAAGCTGCTGTCCTACCTCTACCAGGAGGCGCTGCACAACTGCAGCAACGAGCACTACCCTGTGCTGCTGTCCCTGCTGAAGACCAGCTGCGAGCCCTACACCCGGTGGGCGGTGGGCGGTGGGCTGGGCGGGCATGCACTCCCCCCAGACAGACATTTGAGAGCAGTCCCTTGTCAGACACCTGCTGAATGTGGGGATCACACAGGAAGGAGAGGGCAGGATAGGTGGCCTGGGCAGGAGCCCCCAACCCCCAACCCCCAACCCCAACCCCACTCCACAGCCCCTACCCTGCCCCGACTCCATTCCACCCCTCATGGATGGCCACACCCCACCCCGCCCCTCACTGAAGGCCACGCCCCACCCCGCCCCTCACTGACGACCATGCCCCACCCCGCCCCTTACTGACGGCCACACCCCCATCCCGCCCCTTACAGCCTCGCCCCACCCTACCCCTCACTGCCGGCCCCACCTACCTCTCTGCTGACCGTGCCTACCCCTGCTGCTCCCCGTTTGCAGGTTCATCCACGACTGGGTGTACAGCGGTGTGTTCAGAGACGCTTATGGCGAGTTCATGATTCAGGTGAACCATGAGTACCTCAGCTTCCGAGGTAGGTGGCAGCTGGTTGCGGGGCAGGGGTCTGTGCCTGTGGGCCTGGGTTCAGGGCCACGGCCATGCCAGCCACCCTGGTGTTCGCCCCACCTTAGATAAGTCGTACTGGACACATGGCTACGTGCTCATCTCCAAAGAGGTGGAGGACTGTGTTCCCGTGTTTCTGAAGCACATTGCCCACGACGTGTACGTCTGTGGGAAGACCATTAACCTGCTGAAGCTCTGCTGCCCCCGGGTGAGGAGGGGCTCACGCATGGGGAGGGGAAGGGGGCCAGTCTTCCCCGGGGCTGAGTCTGAGGCTGAATGCTGGTGGCTGTGCCTACATCACCTTTGGCAGCATTACCTCTGTTGGTCCGACGTCCCCGTCCCCCGGATCTCAGTGATTTTCTCCCTCGAGGAGTTGAAGGAGATTGAGAAGGACTGTGCCGTCTACGTCGGGCGCATGGAGAGAGTGGCCCGCCACAGCTCTGTCAGCAAGGAGGAGAAGGTGCGTGGCACCACGGGTCTCGGGGGTTTTCTTTGCCCCACCTCTGCTTCCTGGGGTCTCAGGTTGGTGGGGTGGACCGTGAGGGCTGTGCAAGATGGGGGCCTCCCTTCTGGCATTTTCTGTCCTGGCGGTGGCCGGGGTGGGTTCCAAGGGGGAGCTGAGACGAATATCCTGGAGCCAGATGCCAGGCAGGGGCTCTGTTCTCTCCTCCTGGGTTTGGGTGGCTCAGCCTGAAGCCCAGGTTTTGCTGGCGTGGGAAACTATGCTGGGGCTTCCCCTGGGCCCGCCGGCTGTGGACAGACAGTCCTGGCTGCACTCCAGGGCGGCAGGGCCTGTGGTCCTGTACTCAGATGGCCTTTGCAAGTCCCCCTTCTGCTGGGAAGGGACAGTGTGTCAGGGACGAGCCACGCCTCTCCTGTGTCCTCTGGGAGGGGCTCGGTAGTACAGTCAGTGCCATTCCGAGGAACACCGTTTCTGGCCCAGTGCCTGGTGGGCAGCAGGGATACCTGGGCAGGGGCAGGCCTATGAGGCTGAGTGGGGAAGCCCCCTCTCTCAGGCCCCTTGGTTTCCTTCCAGGGTAGGCACACACAGCCTCACACAGTCCTCAGCCCCAGATGTCTCTGTGAGAGCCAGTCAGCTCCCGTCCATGGCCTGGAGCCAGCTTTGCCACTGCTGAGCCTGGGGGTGGGGAGGGGTGGCGGGGGGGGTGTCCTGCCATCACCTGGTCCCTCCCCGAACCCTTGGACCATGTGTCTCCCCTGCCGGCCCTGAGTCCACAGGTGTCCTGGGCATCCTAGGTGAGGGGTCAGAGGATTAGGTTTTTTTTTCTTTGAGACAGGGTCTCACTGTGTGGGCCAGGAGGCTGGAGTGCAGTGGCTCGAACATGGCTCACTGCAGCCTCCACCTCCCAGGCTCAAGAGATCCTCCTGCCTCAGCTCCCCCCATCCCCTGCCCCCCAAATAGTTGATACTACAGGCACCCATCACCACACCTGGCTAATTTTTGTATTTTTAGTAGAGGTGGAGTTTTGCTATGTTGTCCAGGCTGGTCTCAAACTCCTAAGCTCAGGTGATCTACCCACCTTGGCCTCCCAAAGTGCCAGGATTACAGGCGTGAGCCACTGCGCCTGGCCAGGATGCTTTGTTTAACCAGTTGTCTTTCTCAGGAATTACGTATGGAAATTGCAAAACAAGAATTAATTGCTCATGCCCGGGAAGCAGCATCCAGGGTCCTGAGTGCACTGAGTGGTGAGTGGCCCCAAGTCCTCCCTTCTGCAGTTTCGGGGGTCCTTGCTGGGGCCTCCTTGTGACATTGCACCCCTTACTGTCCCTATGTAGACCGGCAGATGTCAGAACGGATGGCCTTGGACGCCCGAAAGCGCGAGCAGTTTCAGAGGCTGAAAGAACAGTTTGTGAAGGACCAGGAGGTGGGTAGGACCTGTCCCTGCAGGGTCAGGCCCGTGAGTCCTGATTTCACAGGCCAGGCTGTGTTTTATAGCGACGCCAGGCGGCCAGGCAGGAGGAGCTGGATGATGACTTCAGCTACGCCCGTGAGCTCCGAGACAGGGAAAGGAGGCTGAAGTCCCTGGAGGAGGAGCTGGAGAGGAAGGCGAGGTAGGGCAGCCGGGGCTCCAGGCTTAGGGGTGCAGTGTGGCAGGGGCCCCGTAGCTCTGGCTTAATCTTACTGATGATTTTACTTTTTTTGAAAACCTTCAAGCAACATTAAGGTAGAAAGACCAATGTGCTGAACCCAGAGTGGCTGTGGCCATTCTGCCATATCCAGGTGTCCTTAGCCGTCCTGCGTGTGGTCTTGTGGGTAGTTTGTATGGATTAGGGTCCAGGCGAGGCCTGCATATTGTTTGGGGTCCTGTCTCTATTATCTTTCTAAACATCCCCCCTTACTTATTTTTAAGTCTGTTACTGGTCTGAGACAGGGCTTTTTTTTTTTGAAACGGAGTCTCGCTCTGTCACCCAGGCTGCAGTGCAGTGGCACAATCTCTGTTCACTGTAACCTCTGCCTCCCAGGTTCAAGCAATTCTCTTGCCTCAGCCTCCCGAGTAGCTGGGATTACAGGTGCCTGCCACCACATCCAGCTAATTTTTTGTATTTTTAGTAGAGACGGGGTTTCACCATGTTGGCCAGGCTGATCTCAAACTCCTGACCTCAGGTGATCCACCTGCCTCGGCCTCCCAAAGTGCTGGGATTACAGGCGCAAACCACTGCGCTTGGCCGAGACAGTGTTTGTCCCACTCGGCATCTGAGTCTGTCTCCCTGGGCTGTCATCAGCCTGTCCCTAGGCTGAGTAGTGCTGGAGCCTTCAAGGGGCTGTTCGGGGTTTTGGAGAGAGCCTCTTATGGGGGGGACTGGCCGCTTCCTGCTCAGCGCCACGCGATGCTCTTGTCCCAACCTTAGATCTGTTTATGGAGCCCCTGAGGGATATGTGTGGAGGGGTGCACGTGCCTGTGTGCAAGCACGTCTGTGTATGCATTTATGCATGCATACCTGTTCACGTATGTCCGTCAAGACTGTCCTGTTAACACATGGATAAAACCAGGCCTAGACACTATGTCTCTGGCCTGTGGCAGCCAAATTAGAGCTGGCCAGTCCAGGTTGTCTCTGGCCTGTGGCAGCCAAATTAGAGCTTGCCAGTCCAGGTTTGAGCCCAGTTGCCTGCTGGTGAGAAGCTCAAAATCATGGGGCACAGTGAGGCAGGCTTTGAGTTCAGCAAATAAAGCGTTTGTGTTGGTTTTGCCTCACGTGCTTTTTTGCATTAGTCTTCAGTTCTCAGCTTTGTACCTGTAGAAGGGGAAAAGGCCTTACGTCTTCGGGGCCTGGGGCCTTCGGCCTCCTGCTCACCCCTTGCTTCAGGCCACACAGGATCTCATTCCGCTATTCATCCAGCAGACGTTGCTGAGCCCTGGCTGGGCACCGACTCACCAGGGTCTCCCAGCCTGGCAGGTGGAAGGGCCTGCCTGGTGCTGCCCTGCAGGTGCTGTGAGGGTCCAGAGCTATCAGCCCCTGGTAGGGAGAGACTGGGGGGCAAGGGCCCACTGGGGCCTCTGTTACGGGGAACCATCCTGGCCTGAGAGGCACCAGGTGGATGGGGTGGGGTGACTTGTGGCCGTGTCCTCTCTGGGTGTGGCTTCAGGCAGGCGCTGGTCGACCACTACAGCAAGCTCTCTGCAGAGGCAGCTCGTCGGGAGCAGAAGGCGCTGTGGCGAATCCAGAGGCACCGACTGGAGAGTGCACGGCTTCGTTTTCTCTTAGAAGATGAGAAACACATTCAGGTATCTCTGTGGCTTTAGGTGGCACTCTTTCCCTGGGCTTTGGGGGTCTGGGCACCCCCGAGACTGCACACAGACCTGTGTGGTCTTCTAGGAGAGGGCTGGCGCCTCTCGTGTTTGCAGCAGAGCACTGTCTCTCTCCCTGTGTGCCACCAAATTGCACAGATACAGGCGGTGAGGAGCTCGTGGTTTTGAAGTACTTTCTGCAGGCCCAGGGTCCCAGTGGAGCCCAGCACAAGCCTTGTCTGGTTCAGTACACACAGCTGCCATGGGCAGTAGGGGCCGTGCTTGACTCCAGCTCTGCTGGTCACCCCTCTGGCTTGAATTTACAGGAGATGCTGAAAGCAATGTCTGAGGCTCACCAGCCCCAGGAGCTGCCAGACGTCCTCTTGAGCGTGCACCCCCAGGTGAGCGGTGGAGCGGAACCCAGGGTGCCCTAGCTCTGAGCCAGGGGTGCCGGGCCTGGTGGTTTCCCCATAGCCCTGGGCACCTCATGTCGGTCATGGCTGCACAGCTGAACTTGGGGGACAGTTCGAGGGCTGGGGGAGCCTGAGACCAGACTGGGTCTTGATGTCACTTGTGTTTCAGGTCGCATCTCCGGGTCCTGAGGACCCAGAGGGAGACCAAGGCTGTGATGCTGGGCCTGCGGAGCAACACTCAGCTGCCTGGGATGGCCGGAACAGGCCAGGCCTGCCGACCCCACAGTCCCTTAAGCCTCTAGCAATGGGGGCTGGTGGCACAGGGCTGCAGCAGGCGGAGGAGGCCGGACCCTTCTCTGACAGCCTCAGCATTGGAGACTTCCTACCTGTGGGCCCAGGGGCTGAGCAGTCCGTGCAGACTGGCATGGTCCCTCTCCTGGAGGCAGCGCTGCAGACCATCAACTTGGACCTGCCCCCCTCAGCTCCTGGGGAGGCACCCGCAGCAGCCAGCACTCAGCCTTCCAGGCCACAGGAGTACGACTTTAGTACTGTCTTGAGGCCAGCTGTGGCCGCTTCACCTGCACCAGGACCCCTGCAGGCTGCAGAGTGCAACTTGGGCAGCTCAGGGCCACAGCTGTGGGAGGACAGTTGTGGGAAGCTGGATGCCTGTGGCTCCACCTTGCAGGTGGCTCTGTCCCCCTCACACCCACCCAGGCGTGCCGCTCTGAAGGAGGGGAGCAGCCAGCCCGCAGAGCAGCTCTTCGGGCATGAGTCAGGAGGTGGTCTTCCCACAGGGGGCTATGCTTCTGAAACAGCTCTTACCCAGCCACAGTGGAACATCCACGGGCACGTGTCTGACGCCAGCATCGGGGTCGGGGAGAACGTGTCTCAAGTGGCTCCCACCCGGCCACGGTGGAACATCCATGGACACGTGTCCGATGCAAGCATCAGCTTGGGGGAGTCCGTGTCAGAAGTGGCTCCCACTCGGCCACGGTGGAACACCCATGGACACGTGTCCGATGCCAGCATCAGGGTCGGGGAGAACGTGTCGGACGTGGCTCCCACCCGGCCACGGTGGAACACCCATGGACACGTGTCTGACGCCAGCATCATCTTGGGGGAGCCTGTGTGGGACGTGGTTCCCACCCGGCCACGGTGGAACACCCACAGACACGTGTCTGACGCCAGCATCAGCTTGGGGGAGCCTGTGTCGGACGTGGTTTCCACCCGGCCACGGTGGAACACCCATGCACCCGTCCCTCCGCCCCACATGATGCTGGGGGCTGTCTCACCAGAAGCTGAGCCCAACACACCCAGGCCCCAACAGAGCCCCGCTGGCCACACGTCCCAGTCAGCGTTCAGCCTGGGAGCACAGAGCACTGTGCTGGACTGTGGGTCACGGCTGCCTGTAGAAGTGGGGCCATCTCTGTCCTCCCTCAGCTCAGGCTGCCGGGAGGAGAGCATCAGCATTGGGGAGAACGTGTCAGACGTGGCTCCCACCCAGCCATGGTCGCCCAACACCCCGGGAGACGGCGTCTCTGAAGAACTAGGTGAGAGTAGGGTGGCTGGTGGCCAGGATTGGGACTGTGGGACCCACACAGCCTGGGAGGTAGGCAGGCGGTGGGGTTGGTGGCATGTGAAGCTCCCCTCAGGCCTCCTTTGCCAGCCAGGACCTGGGCTGCTGTTTGGGGGACATGGGAGGGGCTGCTTGAGCCGGGAGCGGCTCTGCTCCATCCCCTTCACAGGCGCTCGGCCCTGACGCCCTCTTGTCCACTTGTGTCCACACAGGCCCTGGGAGGAGCGGGGACACTGAGGAGCCACTGAACTCACAGGTTAGGTGGATGCAGCCTGGGGGGTCCCACAGCAGGCAGGGAGGCTCCGTCCCTCCAGATTATCACGCGGGTGGGTCCCACATGCGGTTTTCCTTTTTTTGGCTCGAGCTGGGAGTTGCGGAAGGGTGTGGTGGGGAGGTGGTTCTGAGGCTGGTGTTTTGTTAGGAAAACGCAGCTGCCCAGAGCAGCCCAGGCCCTGGTGAGGAGGCGGCATTGGCGGCGGAGGCTCAGGGCGGTGAGCAGGCCTACCTGGCAGGCCTGGCAGGGCAGTACCACTTGGAGCGGTACCCGGACAGTTACGAGTCCATGTGTGAGTGCAGCAGCTACTGCTGGCAGGGAGCCCTGGGCTGGCCGGTTCCCAGCACTTGCTCCATCTCCTGTGGGCGGGGGTGGAGCCCTGGGCCGCCGGTTCCCAGTATGTGCTCCATCTCCTGCAGCTGAGCCACCCATCGCTCACCTTTTGCGCCCTGTGCTTCCCCGGGCCTTCGCCTTTCCCGTGGACCCCCAGGTCCAGTCTGCCGCGGATGAGACTGCTGTGCAGCTGAGCGAGTTGCTGACGCTGCCCGTGCTCATGAAGCACTCCATCACGGCACCATTGGCCGCCCAGTGAGTGCCCCCGCCCCAGCCCGCCCACCCAGCCCGTCCTGGCCCGCCCACCCAGCCCGTCCTGGCCCGCCCTGACTCCAGCTCCCTCCTGCCAGCATCTCCTTGGTGAACAAGGCTGCCGTCGACTATTTCTTTGTGGAGCTGCACCTGGAGGCGCACTACGAGGCGCTGCGGCACTTCCTGCTGATGGAGGACGGCGAGTTCGCCCAGTCCCTCAGCGACCTCCTCTTTGAGAAGGTGACCTCCGGACATGGAGTGGGGCCAGTGGTAGAGGGGAGGCCGTGGGAAAGGGGAGACTGGTTGCAGGCCCACAGCCCCATGGGGCGCCAGTGAGTGCCAGGCATGTGCTTGGGATTCCTGGGGACACTGGTCCCTTTTCTGCCCAGCTTGGGGCCGGGCAGACACCCGGGGAGCTGCTCAACCCGCTGGTGCTGAACTCTGTGCTGAGCAAGGCCCTGCAGTGCAGCCTGCATGGGGACACCCCGCACGCCTCCAACCTCTCCCTCGCCCTCAAGTACCTGCCCGAGGTGTTTGCCCCCAACGCCCCAGATGTGCTCAGCTGCCTGGAGCTCAGGTACAAGGTCAGCAGCAGCCCCGGTCACGGGGATGGGACAGGGGCTGCCCGTGGGACACCTGCTGAGCCGTGTGTCCCTGTAGGTGGACTGGCCGCTCAATGTTGTCATCACTGAGGGCTGCCTGAGCAAGTACAGCGGCGTCTTCTCCTTCCTGCTGCAGCTGAAGCTCATGATGTGGGCGCTCAAGGATATCTGCTTCCACCTCAAGCGCACAGGTGAGGCCCCACCGGAGCTCAGCGCCCCACACCCCTGGCTTGAGGCCGCGCTCACCTCTGCCCTCTGCCCTCTGCCAGCCCTGCTGAGCCACATGGCCAGCTCCGTGCAGTTCCGCCAGCTGCAGCTGTTCAAGCATGAAATGCAGCACTTCGTGAAGGTCATCCAGGGCTACATCGCCAACCAGATCCTGCACGTCACCTGGTGCGAGTTCAGGGCCAGGCTGGCCACCGTGAGCGACCTGGAGGAGATCCAGCGTGCACACGCAGAGTACCTGCACAAGGCCGTCTTCAGGTGAGGCCCGGGCAGCGGCTGCGTCCCTGTGGTCGCGGCTGAGCCCACCCAGCAGCACTGCCTCCCCGCAGGGGCCTGCTCACGGAGAAGGCGGCGCCTGTCATGAACGTCATCCACAGCATCTTCAGCCTCGTGCTCAAGTTCCGCAGCCAGCTCATCTCCCAAGCCTGGGGCCCCGCTGGGGGCCCGCGGGGTGCAGAGCACCCCAACTTTGCACTCATGCAGCAGTCCTACAACACCTTCAAGTACTACTCCCACTTTCTCTTCAAAGGTGAGGCCCACCCTGGCTGGGAGGGCTGTGGGGGGGCAGGGCGGGGATCCCACCATGGGCAGAAGCCTGAGCGGCTCACGGGTCCCTAGTGGTGACCAAGCTGGTGAACCGCGGCTACCAGCCCCACCTGGAGGACTTTCTGCTGCGCATCAACTTCAACAACTACTACCAGGACACCTGAGGCTGCTCTGCGGGGGACATGCACAATAAAGGTGTCCTCAGACCCTGTCTGCATCTCTCTCTCCTGGGCGGGGCTGAGGGCAGGGCAGGGTGGGGGAAGAAGAACCACAGATGGGCCTGAGGGAGCTGCTGGTTTATTTAGGAGCCTGGGTCCAGCCCCCAGGGACCAGGCTGCACTGCTGAGCTGGCCTCAGACAGAGACGGGTCAGGTCCTGACTGGATGTCTCTGCCATCATGGAAAGAGGTGTGCATGGGCCCAGGCAGCATCCCCCAGTGCAGAGGGCAGCCCAGCACCGTCTCGGCCACTCAGCAGCACACGGGGGCCTCGGGAGGCTCCAGGGGTGTGGAGCGCGTGCCGAGGCCATTACGAAGATCATGTCACACACAGTTCGGCTGCCCAGAGCGGGGGCTTACTGCTGTAGGAGCGCTGCCTGCCGTCCGCCCCGTCGGCCTCCGTGGCCTCGGGATCTGTGGCAGCCCCCGCCTCGCAGTGGTAAGGGTTCTCCAGTAGCTTCAGCACCCGCCGCACCTGGAGGATCGTGAGGGTGAGAGGGGTCCGGGGCCAGCCCCCCATCCCAGGGACCACAGGGACAGGCCCGTGCTTGCCTCTGAGAAGTCCCCGCGCTCGGCAGCCTCGATGGCATTCTGCGCGATGTAGTTCCTCAGCACGTACTTGGGGTTGTTGGCGTGCATCACGCGCACACGCTCAGCCTGCCAGGCAGCAGCATCCCCGGTGCCTTCCAGGTCCTTGTCCAGCCGGGCTCTGGAATGACAGTCGGGCTCTGGAATCACAGCCGGGCTGGACTTTCCCAGCAGCGCCCCCCACCAGGTGAACGTGGACGCAGGGCTCACCTGTACGCCTGCAGCCATTCGGCCCAGTGGCCCTGGTTCCGGCTCTGCAGCTCTGCCATGCTCAGCTGCTCCAGCCGAGACTGCTGCTCCACACGCTCCAGCTCCCTGGCAATGCCTGCCCGGGTGCCCATGAGCGCGAACAGCTGCGGGTTTGACTGTGCCAGCATCAGCATCATGGATAGCTGCCTGTGGGGAGGCCAGGGTGTCTGGGAGGTAGCCCCTGACCGTGTCCCTGCCCCGCAGGCAGCTGCTCCTGCCCCAGGCTGCTCTCATGGCTCACCTGGAGTCCAAGGGCCCAAGCAGCCCAGTCCCCAAGGTCCCTTGAACTCCACTAGCAGGGATGGACCCAGTGGACACACACCAGTCATGTCCATGCTCTGCTGCCCAGCTTTCTGCTGGAGAGTCTCCACCTCCAGAGTTTAATGCTTGTGGGACGGGCACTGCTATTAGCGCTTCCCTCATTTCCAGAAGGGTCCAGGTGGGCTGGGGCCACCCTTTCTCCAGTGGAGGGGGTTTCACGCTCAGCAGGGCCCGCTGGCCGGCACTCCCACCCAACCCCACTAGTTTTGTTAAGTTAAAAGCAGCAACACTTTCCGCGTCTCAGCCTGCACATGGGCGGGACCCTTCAGACGGGACGGCCCTTCCGTTTGGAAGATGGTGTGGGAAAGCTTGACCTCTGGGAGCCCATCCTCCCTGGAAACCCAGAGGCTTTCCCTGAAGCCCAACCACAGCCGAGACCACGGTCTCCCCCCACACCTGTGTCAGCCTCGCCGCCCTCTCCTCTGTGACCAACGGGCCCCAGCACCACAGAGACGCCCTGACTGCGCCTGTCCCTGGGAGCGGAGCAGCCACCTGGGCACCAGCCAGCCCTGCCTCCAGCTTCTCCTCCGGCCTGTTTCTGATTGTGCCTCCCTTTCTGGAAACAAATCCAAGGAAGTAGGAACTGAGTACCCACCGGGGATCCATCTGGGGCCGGAAGGCCAGCCTCAGCTCCTCCAGGGAGGCACACTGCTCCATTAGCCTGGCCAGGAACTCCGCCAGGCCTGGTGACTCCAGCTCCACTGGGAAGGAGCTCAGCAAGAAGAAGGTGTTTGTGAAGTCAGCACCTGGAACACAGGCTGCTCAGGGAGCTGGAAGCAGAAGGCCCAGGGTCCCTGTCCTGGTGCCGTACAGAGCCCCCCAACCCTCGCCCCCGCCAACACACGTGCTGCATGGACCCACATGCTCCATCCCCCACCCCCACTCCAGCACGGACCCACACAATCCCCGACCCACACCTCCACCTGGCACAGGTGCCATACAGACCCACACACTACCCCAGAGGACCCACACCCTCACCCCAGCACAATGCCACACGGACCCACACCCAGCAAGGATGCCACAGAGACCCACATGGACCCAAACGCTGCCCCCAGCACAGGTGCCACATGAGCCCTGCTCAGCACTGGTCCGGGGACTCCTGAGCCCTCCACACCCCACTCCTCCACCCATCCACCACCCAGGCGGCTGCCACTTGCTCTGGCCCTGCAAGTCACCTGTGAAGTGGGCTAACACCAAGAAGGCACAGAGGCTGCTGCCCGGCCCTCACATCCTCAGTCACGACTGCCTGCTTTAGGAGCTAGCGAGTGTTGAGGAGAGGCTGTCACCAGCCTGCAAAAGGCCCAACTGTGACAGACACTGCGATCCTCCCCGACTCCGGAAAACAGCTGTCTCAAAACCACAGTGACCCTAAGACAACGTCTAAAAATGAGAAGGGAGCCAAAGCAACATACTACAAAAAAGTCAACTACACACAAAGGCAGCAACAGAGAACGTGACGGACCAAAAACATGGCAGAGGTAGTTCCTTATCAGTAATTTGAAAGCAAATGGATCTCTCCAATGAAAGGCAGCTTGGCAAAGTGGGTGAAAAGACAATTTCCATGCTGTCACCACATGATCTGCAAGACGTTCAAAGACACGAACAGGCTGGAAGTGAAAGGATGAAGAAACCCAGGCAAAGAGTAACCTAAAGAGAGCTGAGGTGACTATTATACTCACATTAGATAAGTTTTCTATTTTTTGAGATGGAGTCTTGCTCTGTTGCCCGGGCTGGAGTGCAGTGGTGCAATCTCGGCTCACTGCAACCTCCGCCTCCCAGGTTCCAGCAATTCTCCTGCCTCAGCCTCCCAAGGAGCTGGGATTACAGGCATGCGCCACCATGCCTGGCTTGCTTGCTTGCTTATTTATTTATTGGGAGATGGAGTCTGCTCTGTCGCCCAGGCTGGAGTACAGTGGCGCAATCTTGGTTCGCTACAACCTCTCACCTCCTGGGTTCCAGCAATTCTCCTGCCTCAGCCTCCCAAGTAGCTGGGATTACAGGCACCTGCCACCAGGCCTGGCTAATTTTTGTTTTTGTTTTTGTATTTTTGAGATGGGTCTCACTCTTGTCGCCTGGGCTGGAGTGCAGTGGCGTGATCTCAGCTCACTGCAACCTTCGCCTCTCGCATTCAAGTGATTCTCCTGCCTCAGCCTCCTGAGTAGCTGAGATTATAGGCGCCCACCACCATGCCTGGCTAATCTTTGTATTTTTAGTAGAGATGAGTTTCACTATGTTGGCCAAGCTGGTCTCAAACTCTTGACCTCTGGTGATCCGCCCGCCTTGGCCTCCCAAAGTGTTGGGATTACAGACGTGATCCACCACGCCTGGCCAGAGAAGATTTTAAATAAAAAATTGTCAGAAGGGCCGGGAAAGGTAGCTCACCCTTGTAATCCTAGCTACCTGGTAGGCTGAGGCGGGAGGAGATAACTGGAGCACAGGAGGTGGAAGCTGCAGTGAGCTATGACTGTGCTACTGCACTCCAGCCTGGGCAACGAAGTGAGACACACCCACCCTCAACCAAAAAAAAAGTTACAAGAAACAGCATTATATACGGCAAGAGTCAGTTCATCAATAAAATGTAAAAATTATGAACATGCACCTACATGCACCCAATAAGAAAGCCCTAAAATGTACAAACGTTGGCAGAATGGAAGGGACAGAGAACAAACAGTTCTATCTATAGTAAGAGTTGGAGACTTAAACACACCACTTAATAATGGATAGACCATCTAGGGTCAGGCGCAGTGGCTCATGTGTGTAATCCCAGCACTTTGGGAGGCTGAGGCGGGCGGATCACGAGGTCAGGAGATCAAGACCATCCTGGCTAACACGGAGAAACCCCGTCTCTACTAAAAATACAAAAAATTACCCGGGCGTGGTGGCGGGCACCTGTAGTCCCAGCTACTCGGGAGGCTGAAGCAGAAGAATGGCGTGAACCCGGGAGGTGGAGCTTGCAGTGAGCCAAGATCACGCCACTGTACTCCAGCCTGGCCTGGGCGACAGAGCGAGACTCAGTCTCCAAAAAAAAAAGGCGTCTAGACAGGAGATCAATGAGAAATGGAAGACCTGAACAACAGCCTAAACCAACAAGACCAAACAGGCATATACACAGAACACTCCGCCCAGCAGAACAGAGCATACCGTCTTCTCCAGGGCACACGGGACGTTCTCCAAGATAAGCCACAAAACAAGTTGTAATAAACAAAAAAAGGCTGACATCTCTAGCCACAATGGAATGAAGCTAGAAATCACTTAAAAACATAACACACTGGCCGGGCGCGGTGGCTCATCCCTGGAATCCCAGCACTTTGGGAGGCTGAGGCAGGCAGATCACTTGTGGTCAGGTGTTGGAGACCAGCCTGGCCAACATGGTAAAGCCCCATCTCTATTAACAATACAAAAATTAGCCAGGTGTGGTGGAGCATGCCAGTAGTCCCAGCTACTTGGGAGGCTGAAGGAAGAGAATCACTTGAGCCTGGGAGGCGGAGGTTGCAGTGAGCCAAGATGGTGCCACTGCACTCCAGCTTGGGCGACAGAGCGAGACTCCGTCTAAAAACCAAAAAAACACAAAACACAACATACCAAAATTGATAGACACAGCAAAAGCAGTGACCAGAAGGACATGCACAGCTGTAAATGGCTACACTGAAGAAGATCTCCAATCAGTTACCTCACCTCACGCCTAAGGAACTGGAGAAAGAAGAGCCAAGATTAGAGGGAGATAAGAGACTGAAAAACAGAGAAGCCACACACTGCGTAACTTACACGAAGGCTTTAGAGCAGTCCGGTTCACAGACTCAGAGCAGAGTGGCTGCTACCAGGGGCTGCAGGGAGGG